GTTCTGCAAAGCTTGAATCAGACCTTTGGTAAAAGCGTCTTCGGCGTATGCTGTCGTAAGCTGCTGTTCGAGCTGGGTAGGTTCGAGGAGGTCCTGTGCTTCCTCTTCGCTTTCCTGGTCGCTGTCTGAGCTTTCTGAACTCGTGTCTTCGTCGTCCGAGCTATCGTCGTCTCCGAGAAAGGCGGGAGCGGCCATTAGTACAAAGGATGCTACGAGAGGCTCTGGGCCGGTAAAGTCGTCTCCGAGGAGCTCGTACAGTTCCTGGCTGAGGTTGTGCTCCTTAAGGATAGACTGTTCTTCACGCTGCGGACCTCGATCCAAAGGCGAGTCTCCGTTGCGCCTCGTAAGTGCGTCGGCCTGTGAGTTTGCTTTGCCGGGCGTATACTGAATGACGAAGTTAAACCGGGAAAGAAACTCACTCCAGCGTACCTGCCTACGGCTAAGGATTTTGCTCTTGAGAAAGTAGATGAGGTTCTTGTGATCCGAGCTGACCTGGATCGGTGACTCAGAACCTTCGAGTTCCGGACGCCATTCTTCGAAAGCCTTAACGATTGCGAGGAGCTCCTTGTCGTAGATGTCGTAATTGCATTCCGCGGAGGACATTTTCTTGGAGAGGTAGGCTACGGGCAGCCACGCATCTTCCGGGGTCGTTCGTTGAAGGAGAACGGCGCCAGTTGTACCGTCGGAAGCATCGGTTTCCAGGCGCGTTTCTTTATCGAAGTCGAAGTACTGCAGGATCGGTGCGGTCGTAAAACTTTGCCGTAACTGGTCGAAGGCTTCTTGACAGGCCGGTGACCATTCAAATTTGACGTCTTTCCGCGTAAGTGCCGTAAGTGGACGGGCGATTCCGCTGAAATTCCGTATGAATCTCCGGTAGAAGTTGGCAAAACCGAGGAAGCCCTGGACTTCTTTCACGTTTCGTGGCACTCCCCAGTTCAGAACGGCTTCGATCTTGCCGGGATCCATTCGAATACCTTCTGAAGAGACAATGAGGCCGAGGAATTTCACCTCTTGCTTGTAGAATTCGCACTTGTCGATGTCGATATGCAGTCCAGCTTCTGCGAGTTTCTCAAGTACCTTTTCGATGTGTTCGTAGTGTTCCGCTTTCGTTTTGCTGTAAATCAGGATGTCGTCCATGTACGCCGAGACGAAGGCGTCTAGGAATTCTTTAAGCGTATCGTTGATGTATGATTGGAACGTGCTAGGTCCGTTGCAGAGCCCGAACGGCAAGACCAGGTATTCAAAAAGGCCGTAACGGGTTCGGAAGGCTGTCAACCATTCGTCTCCCTCGGCAATACGGATCGCGTTAAAGGCGGCGATCACGTCGAGCTTGGTAAACCAGCGAGCCTTCGAAAGGCGTTCGAGCGTTTCGTTTACGAGAGGGATTGGGTAGCGGTTCTTTTTCGTCAACGCGTTGAGGCCCCGGTAGTCCACGCAGAAACGGAGACCTCCGCCGGGTTTCCGGGCAAACATAACTGGTGCGGCTGCTTCGGAGGAACTGGGGCGGATAAAGCCCTTTTGCAGGTTGTCTTCGAGGTATTTTTTCAGTACGAGGAGCTCATCTCGAGACATCGAGTAGAGAGGGCCGTACGGCGGCGGCTTGCCGTCGATTAGCTCGATTTTGTGGTCGACACCTGGCCGGTGCGGTGGCAGAATGTCGGCGTTCTTCTTCGAAAACTGGTGGAGTCGGTGCCAATGCTCCTTCGGTAGTTTCGTTCTTGGATCCGTTGGTTCTTCGTCGAACTTTCGGATAGCCTTCTCGATATCCTGCATTGTTGCAGCGAAGATCTGAGTGCGTTTGTCGCGGGCAAGACGCGAGAAGGCAGCCGCGCTAATAGCGAACACGGTACGATCTCGGGGAGTATCGGAGGTGGAACTGGATTCGTTGAAGCAGTGCTCAGCGCAATGCTTGCTCGTAAAGGACAGAGATTCGGAGGCCCAGTCGATAACCGGGTTGTGCTTTTTAAGCCAAGGAAGACCAAGAATAACGGGGTGAGTCTTCGGGAGTTTCGTAAGGAAAAACATAATGTGTTCGGTATGCGGGCCGATAGTAATGGATGAGTGGCAGATCTGGGTCACCTTGCCGGCGGCCGCGGTCGTACCGTCAAACATTTCCAACTCCCGAGCGTACGTGAGGTCTTGGAACGTTAAGCCGAGCTCTCTCGCATGGTCGTAATCCATAAACGAGTAGCCGGTTGCGCCGTTGTCAATGAGAGCTGCAGTTTTCAATGATTTCTTTTGATTTCCTATCAACGTTTCTACTACGAAAGGCTGGCAGACCAACTCTTTCTCTGTAGCCGAGCTGGAGAAAGGGAAGGTAGCAGCAGATACTCTCAGTTTTGGAACGAATGAACCTTGCAAGCGACTGTATGCAAGGTTCAAGCTTTTCCCTGGCCGCTCGGAGCAGCGCTGGCCGGTGAAGGCGTATCTGGAGTCGTGACATTCGCGGCGGCGACTCGTTGTGTCGTTGGCGTGTTTAGCCGGCCGACGAGAGACGGGCAGAGGCGAGCAATGTGTCCTTTCACTCCGCAGTAGATGCATTCTCCTGCCGTACGGCGACGCTGCTTCTCTTCTTCCGAAAGCTTGCCATTCACTAGGGGCGCGCGTGGACGGGCGCCGAGCGAGGCAGCGCTCAAATCCATCGGATCGGCGGCAGGCCAGGCGCCTGGCGGTGTTGGGGCTGTAGCCGGAGCTGGTGCTGAAGCCGGCGTCTGAGCTGTCTGTGACTTCGACGGTGGCGTAGCGAACGGCGACGTAAAGCGACCGGCATTCGTACGGGCGCCTCCGCGGTTGGCGATGATTTTCGCGAAGTTTCGAGTCGTATTGTCGATACGCGTAAGCAAGGCGTGCAGTTCGGTGATGTTTAGATTCTCCGTATCCTTATCGCGGACTTGCAGCATCATTTCTTCGCTAAGGCCGCGCACCAAGATCCATTTGGCGACGTCCGGGGGGTATTCGGCGTACCCAATCTCGTGTTGGAAGGCGGCATGGTACTCTTGGTAGGTCTTGTTTGCTTGCTTGAGTTTGTCCAAGTTCAGGCGCGCAGTTTGCTTGCGGTCGGGGTCGCCGAAACTGGCGTCGAGGGCCTTCCAGATAGTAGCCGTTGTGGTTGTTTCTGCATTTTCTAAGAGGCTGCGGCAGGAATCGAGGGCGGAGCCACCGAGCAGAGAAAACATAAATCCGGTCTTTGAAGCTTCAGTCGGATAGTGGTCGGCGTTGGCGAGAAAGCGGATCTTAACCTGTGTCTTGAATTCTTCGTACACTTCACGCTTGCCGGTAAAGCGTTCGGGGTCGCTCAGCTTCTTACTCTTGTTCGAAGTGGGTGTAAATGGGTGAGAAGCGGGTGCCGCGGCGCCTAGGCGAGCAGAGGCGAGCTGCGACTGGAGGCGGCCTACCTCGTCTTCTTTTTCCGCGATAGAAGCATTCGCGTCGCTGAGAGCCGTACTAAGGCTAGTACGGGAGACCGAGAGGAAACGAGTGGCATCTTTGTGAGCCTTAAGCAGGTTGACGAGCAGTTCCGGGTCGGTAGCGTAGGCGTGATCTAGCTGTTCGCGCGTAGCGGGGATTTCATTCCATGCTGAGCTTGAAAAATCGGGTACGTCGTCAGGTCTTGTGTTTTGAATCCATTCGTCAGGCGTGTCCATCTTGATAGAGGCGTTTTTTGAGGCAGTTCGTAATGTAAGGGTCAGTGGCTGAGCAGTGAGAATGTGCACGAAACTTTGAACTGAACTGAAGGGAGCACTGAATCAATATGGCTGCTATCTGCACAAGACGAACTGCGAAGAAAGGAAGAAGGGTGCCTCAGAGGGAGAGCCCCTTCCTTAGTATTCCGCCCTGCGGCCGTCTGGCGCGTCCGACGCGTGAGCGCAAGCACGCATGTCCTGCTTGTCCGCTGTCTCGCAGCGCCTTTGTCTCCCAGCCAACTGGCGCAGCGCGCGTGTGCGAACTCGTTTGACCGCTCTTGAGCAAACATGTTTCTCCCAGCTCTTCCCTGCCTTCCGGTTCCTTCCTACCACTCGGATCTGTCCCACGACTCTGTATGTCTCGCTTGCTGTCGTCCGTATGTGCGTGCGCGTAGTTTGGTGCAGTCCCGTCGTTCGTGTGTTGATGTGTGACGTGTTGTTCTGCTGCATGCGGCCTCCGCGGGAGTCCCTGAGATGTCACGTTATGCGGCTGAGTGGGCGACCTGGGCGTACTGGGCGTACTGGGCGTATTGGGCGTACTGGGCGTACTGGGCGTACTGGGCGTAGGAGAATAATAAGGTAGTAAGTGGTATAATAATGTACTATAGGCTAGGAAATAGATCGTTTAGAGATAAGTAGTCGATAGTACGGTCTAATATAAGTCTTAAGAAGATAGTAGGAGAAGATAGTGCTATATACTAGCTATAAAATGGTAGTAGACATATGAGGTAGGGTCCGCTAGGCGGCCGGTAGTAAATAAAACTTTTTTATCTTAGCTCCGATAAAGCTGTAACTTCGCACGCGAATAGGTCCTATATAGTCCTAGTAAGGCCTAAAATATGACGGCGATCCATGGGTAGGCCGTGGAGATATAGGCCCAACACCCGAGCCAACACCTAGCCAACACCAGCCAACACTAGCCAACACCAGCCAACACCAAATTTTTTGTCTCCGATTCAGCTCAAAATTGGTAGATCCCTTGTTCGAATAGTGTCTAAAGAGACGTGAAATTTTGACGTAGATCGGGCTAGCGGCGGGAGAGTAATAGTGGGAGAGAGGGAGCCAACACCTAGCCAACACCCAGCCAACACTAGCCAACACCAAATCGACCCTCTCCGATTCCTGTATAAATTAGTACGCGGGTAGGCTCTATATAGAGCATACGGTAGGTAAAATTTGAGCGCAGTAGGCCTACTATATGGCGAGTAGTAGGCCCAACACTGAGTCCAACGGAGTCCAACGGCCTAATCGGGAATCCAACGCAATCCAACGCCCATCAATATTGATGACATTTTCACGCACCGCCCATCAAAATTGATGGTACCTCCAGTCAAAATGCCATTCAAAACGAGTCCAACGCTGAGTCCAACGCTGAGTCCAACGCGTTGGACTCGGGTCGCTGGCCAAGTTCAACCTACGGGGGGCGACCCTGCCGTCGCCTATAGACCTACCTACTAGACCCTCTTGGACCTCGCTGTCGACCCCCCGATTAGGCAAAACCTATCGTAGGGCCTTCTAGGACCCCTAGGACTATCCTGGGTACCTCGCTGGCCTACACCTCGCTGTCGATACCTAAAAGGGAAGTCGTGGAACCTCTAGATGGAATGATAGGATAGTAGATAGTACAATAAAATACTATAGGCCAGGAAATAGAACGTTTCGAGATAAGTAGTCGATAGTACGGTCTAATATAAGTCTCAAGAAGATAGTAGGAGAAGATAGTACTATATACTAGCTATAAAATGGTAGTAGACATTTGAGGTAGGGTCCGCTAGGCGGCCGGTAGTAAATAAAACTTTTTTATCTTAGCTCCGATAAAGCTGTAACTTCGCACGCGAATAGGTCCTATATAGTCCTAGTAAGGCCTAAAATATGACGGCGATCCATGGGTAGGCCGTGGAGATATAGGCCCAACACCCGAGCCAACACCTGAGCCAACACCTAGCCAACACCAGCCAACACCAGCCAACACCAAATCGACCCTCTCCGATTTAGCTTAAAATTGGTAAAACTCTTGCTTGTATGCTACTTAAGGAGACGTGTGTCATTGACGTAAATCGAGCCAAAGGCGGGAGAGCAGTAGTAGGAGAAAGGGAGCCAACACCTAGCCAACACTAGCCAACACCAAATCGGCCCCCAGCGAAGCAGGTCGCCCAGTCAGCCCAGGTCGCCTAGTACGCCCAGTACGCCCAGTACGCCCAGTACGCCCAGTACGCCCAATACGCCTAGTACGCCCAGTACGCCTAGGTCGCCCACTCAGCCGCATAACGTGACATCTTAGGGACTCCCGCGGAGGCCGCATGCAGCAGAACAACACGTTACACATCAACACACGAACGACGGGACTGCACCAAACTACGCGCACGCACATACGGACGACAGCAAGCGAGATATACAGAGTCGTGGGACAGATCCGAGTGGTAGGAAGGAACCGGAAGGCAGGGAAGAGCTGGGAGAAACATGTTTGCTCAAGAGCGGTCAAACGAGTTCGCATACGCGCGCTGCGCCAGTTAGCTGGGAGACAAAGGCGCTACGAGACAGCGGACAAGCAGGATATGCGTGCTTGCGCTCACGCGTCGGACGCGCTAGACGGCCGCAGGGCGGAATACTAAGGAAGGGGCTCTCCCTCTAAGGCACCCTTCTTCCTTTCTTCGCAGTTCGTCTTGTGCAGATAGCAGCCATATTGATTCAGTGCTCCCTTCAGTTCAGTTCAAAGTTTCGTACACATTCTCACTGCTCAGCCACTGACCCTTATATTACGAACTGCCTCAAAAAACGCCTCTATCAAGATGGACACGCCTAACGAATGGATTCAAAACACAAGACCTGACGACGTACCCGATTTTTCAAGCTCAGCATGGAATGAAATCCCCGCTACGCGCGAACAGCTAGATCACGCCTACGCTACCGACCCGGAACTGCTCGTCAACCTGCTTAAGGCTTACAAAGATGCCACTCGTTTCCTCTCTACTCGATGTCTCGAGATGAGCTCCTCGTACTAAAGAAATACCTCGAAGACAACCTACAAAAGGGCTTTATCCGCCCCAGTTCCTCCGAAGCAGCCGCACCAGTTATGTTTGCCCGGAAACCCGGCGGAGGTCTCCGTTTCTGCGTGGACTACCGGGGCCTCAACGCGTTGACGAAAAAGAACCGCTACCCAATCCCTCTCGTAAACGAAACGCTCGAACGCCTTTCGAAGGCTCGCTAGTTTACCAAGCTCGACGTGATCGCCGCCTTTAACGCGATCCGTATTGCCGAGGGAGACGAATGGTTGACAGCCTTCCGAACCCGTTACGGCCTTTTTGAATACCTAGTCTTGCCGTTCGGGCTCTGCAACGGACCTAGTACGTTCCAATCATACATCAACGATACGCTTAAAGAATTCCTAGACGCCTTCGTCTTAGCGTACATAGACGATATCCTGATTTATAGCAAAACGAAAGCGGAACACTACGAACACATCGAAAAGGTACTTGAGAAACTCGCAGAAGCTGGACTGTATATCGACATCGACAAGTGCGAATTCTATAAGCAAGAGGTGAAATTGCGAACGATTGAAAATTCAAGCGCGCCTTTCAACGGCTTACTACCCGCAGACCGACGGGCAAACCGAACGCGCTAACGCGCAGATCGAGCAAATTATTAGGTGCTTCTGCAATTACTACCAAAACGACTGGCTAAGATTGACGCCTTCTATTGAATTTGCCATCAACAATTGGGAGTCGGCTACAACTCAGACTACGCCGTTCTACGCCTCTACTGGATTTCACCCTCGAACCGGTATGGAACCGATAGAGATCGAACTAGAGCCCCCGGCAAACGATCCGGAAAGAGACGCCGATGCCTTCGCTCTTCAAATGGCCCAGACCCACTAAGAGCTCCAGGACGAGATAAGGTATGCCTAAGAAGTGTACGAGCACTACGCCAATTAGCGCAGACGCGCCGCGCCAGATTACTAGGTCGGAGATTACGTCTACCTCGACTTACGACACATTAGAACCAACCGACCTTCGAAAAAGCTCGACTGGAAAAATCTAGGACCCTTCCGAATTGTAAAGAAAATCGGCACACACGTATACGAACTGGATCTCCCAGAAAATCTCAACATTCACCCGGTCAAACACGTTGTCAACCTAAGAACCGCCGGACAAATCGCGGACCCCGAAGACATCCCGCCGATGCCGGAAGCTACCGAGGCTACCGATCAGGCCGAAGACGAGCCGGAATCTGCCTTAGGTACAGTGCGGGCGATTATCGGATGGAGCTTTAGTAACACAAATTTCGGAAATCTCAACCCTCCCGGGCCGTGGGGAGAGGTACAATAGGAGGGGTACTCAGACGAGGACACGACCTGGGAACCTCTACGCTACATTATCTTCGCCCGCGAAGCAATCGAGGAATTCCTACGAGACTACACCGACTATACGACAATGGAAGGAGCTGTCCCGGAACATTTTCTCCGAGAAGCGTACGAATGGAATTTAGATTAAGGTCTCCGACCCGAACCAGGACAAGAACACCAGCACCCATTGTATACGGACCTCCTTCAGCGTCGTAGGAACTCCGCGCAGAACGAGGGGGGGGCTACTGTCATGGTGGCTGCCTAGAAAGCACCGACAAGTCCTACAAGCTAGCCGCTATGCTATGAAGTGATGTCGGATTTGAGTTGCCTTAGCAGCAGGGGCCCCCAGCGAAGCAGGTCGCCTAGTCAGCCTAGGTCGCCCAGTACGCCCAGTACGCCCAGTACGCCTAGTACGCCCAGTACGCCCAATACGCCCAGTACGCCTAGTACGCCCAGGTCGCCCACTCAGCCGCATAACGTAACATCTTAGGGACTCCCGCGGAGGCCGCATGCAGCAGAACAACACGTCACATATCAACACACGAACGACGGGACTGCACCAAACTACGCGCACGCATATACGGACGACAGCAAGCGAGACATATAGAGTCGTGGGACAGATCCGAGTAGTAGGAAGGAACCGGAAGGCAGGGAAGAGCTAGGAGAAACATGTTTGCTCAAGAGCGGTCAAACGAGTTCGCACACGCGCGCTGCGCTAGTTGGCTGGGAGACAAAGGCGCTACGAGACAGCGGACAAGCAGGACATGCGTGCTTGCGCTCACGCGTCGGACGCGCTAGACGGCCGCAGGGCGGAATACTAAGGAAGGGGCTCTCCCTCTAAGGCACCCTTCTTCCTTTCTTCGCAGTTCGTCTTGTGCAGATAGTAGCTATATTGATTTAGTGCTCCCTTCAGTTCAGTTCAAAGTTTCGTGCACATTCTCACTGCTCAGCTACTGACCCTTACATTACGAACTGCCTCAAAAAACGCCTCTATTAAGATGGACACGCCTGACGAATGGATTCAAAACACAAGACCTGACGACGTACCCGATTTTTCAAGCTTAGTATGGAATGAAATCCCCGCTACGCGCGAACAGCTAGATTACGCCTACGCTACCGACCCGGAACTGCTCGTCAACCTGCTTAAGGCTTACAAAGATGCCACTCGTTTCCTCTCTACTCGATGTCTCGAGATGAGCTCCTCGTACTAAAGAAATACCTCGAAGACAACCTACAAAAGGGCTTTATCCGCCCCAGTTCCTCCGAAGCAGCCGCACCAGTTATGTTTGCCCGGAAACCCGGCGGAGGTCTCCGTTTCTGCGTAGACTACCGGGGCCTCAACGCGTTGACGAAAAAGAACCGCTACCCAATCCCTCTCGTAAACGAAACGCTCGAACGCCTTTCGAAGGCTCGCTGGTTTACTAAGCTCGACGTAATCGCCGCCTTTAACGCGATCCGTATTGCCGAGGGAGACGAATGGTTGACAGCCTTCCGAACCCGTTACGGCCTTTTTGAATACCTAGTCTTGCCGTTCGGGCTCTGCAACGGACCTAGCACGTTCCAATCATACATCAACGATACGCTTAAAGAATTCCTAGACGCCTTCGTCTCGGCGTACATGGACGACATCCTGATTTACAGCAAAACGAAAGCGGAACACTACGAACACATCGAAAAGGTACTTGAGAAACTCGCAGAAGCTGGACTGCATATCGACATCGACAAGTGCGAATTCTATAAGCAAGAGGTGAAATTGCGAACGATTGAAAATTCAAGCGCGCCTTTCAACGGCTTACTACCCGCAGACCGACGGGCAAACCGAACGCGCTAACGCGCAGATCGAGCAAATCATTAGGTGCTTCTGCAATTACTACTAAAACGACTGGCCAAGATTGACGCCTTCTATTGAATTTGCCATTAACAATTGGGAGTCGGCTACAACTCAGACTACGCCGTTCTACGCCTCTACTGGATTTCACCCTCGAACCGGTATGGAACCGATAGAGATCGAACCAGAGCCCCCGGCAAACGATCCGGAAAGAGACGCCGATGCCTTCGCTCTTCAAATGGCCCAGACCTACTAAGAGCTCTAGGACGAGATAAGGTATGCCTAAGAAGTATACGAGCACTACGCCAATCAGCGCAGACGCGCCGCGCTAGATTACTAGGTCGGAGATTACGTCTACCTCGACTCACGACACATTAGAACCAACCGACCTTCGAAAAAGCTCGACTGGAAAAATCTAGGACCCTTCCGAATTGTAAAGAAAATCGGCATACACGCATACGAACTGGATCTCCCAGAAAATCTCAACATTCACCCGGTCAAACACGTTGTCAACCTAAGAACCGCCGGACAAATCGCGGACCCCGAAGACATCCCGCCGATGCCGGAAGCTACCGAGGCTACCGATTAGGCCGAAGACGAGCCGGAATCTGCCTCAGGCATAGTGCGGGCGATTATCGGATAGAGCTTTGGTAACACAAATTTCGGAAATCTCAACCCTCCCGGGCCGTAGGGAGAGGTACAATGGGAGGGGTACTCAGACGAGGACACGACCTGGGAACCTCTACGCTACATTATCTTCGCCCGCGAAGCAATCGAGGAATTCCTACGAGACTATACCGACTATACGACAATGGAAGGAGCTGTCCCGGAACATTTTCTCCGAGAAGCGTACGAATGGAATTTAGATCAAGGTCTCCGACCCGAACCAGGACAAGAACACTAGCACCCATTGTATACGGACCTCCTTCAGCGTCGTAGGAACTCCGCGCAGAACGAGGGGGGGGCTACTGTCATAGTGGCTGCCCAGAAAGCACCGACAAGTCCTACAAGCCAGCCGCCATGCCATGAAGTGATGTCGGATTTGAGTTGCCTTGGCAGCAGGGGCCCCTAGCGAAGCAGGTCGCCTAGTCAGCCCAGGTCGCCCAGTACGCCCAGTACGCCTAGTACGCCTAGTACGCCCAGTACGCCCAATACGCCCAGTACGCCTAGTACGCCTAGGTCGCCCACTCAGCCGTATAACGTGACATCTTAGGGACTCCCGCGGAGGCCGCATGCAGCAGAACAACACGTCACATATCAACACACGAACGACGGGACTGCACCAAACTACGCGCACGCACATACGGACGACAGCAAGCGAGACATATAGAGTCGTGGGACAGATCCGAGTGGTAGGAAGGAACCGGAAGGCAGGGAAGAGCTGGGAGAAACATGTTTGCTCAAGAGCGGTCAAACGAGTTCGCACACGCGCGCTGCGCTAGTTGGCTGGGAGACAAAGGCGCTACGAGACAGCGGACAAGCAGGACATACGTACTTACGCTCACGCGTCGGACGCGCCAGACGGCCGCAGGGCGGAATACTAAGGAAGGGGCTCTCCCTCTAAGGCACCCTTCTTCCTTTCTTCGCAGTTCGTCTTATATAGATAGCAGCTATATTGATTCAGTACTCCCTTCAGTTTAGTTCAAAGTTTCGTACACATTCTCACTGCTTAGCTACTAACCCTTACATATAACATCTCGAGTTTACTAAAGGTAGTGCTATTAGTAGGTCGCTACATTCGTATCGCAATCGAGTAGCGGCCCGGAGAGTATAGCTTCGAAAGCCGGAATCCACACTAACCGATAGGGCAACAATATAATACTACTATAATATATCTATATTGTCTCTTCGGTAGGAAACAACACTATTAATGCCGCTAAACAACCTGCCGTTATTCGTTTTAAAAAAGATACAGTTATAATAAAGATACAGCTACGATAAGATATTCGAAAATTCGCGACTTCGAGCGCCTCCTCTATACCGAAATTTCGGCGTCTACTCGGCTTTACTCGGCGGTTAAGCTTAGCGGGTCTACACTTGAGAAGCTAATTTTAACTACTCTAACTAGATACTAGCGCAATACTATAACGCATTGTTTTTTATTACTACAAGTATAGAGAGCCGAGACTATATCTATCTAATATACCTCTAATTTATACTATACAAAAATACGTAGTATTAGTAGAATAAGAAGCGACATTAGTTGGACTAAATATCAGCTATTAAGCCGCCGACCTACGACCGGAAATCTACCTACCTTCTTTAGCCTCGCTTCTACCCTAAAACAGCGCTTCTATAGCTAACTATAGAATAGACTATCTAACGACTTATTAATCCGACTAAGCCGCTGCTTACGTATCTCCTTATCTATATATCGACTAACTGCAGCGACAAATCGAGCGTGTTAGTCTTCCTTAAGTCTAGCGGCAGTCTAACGGCTTAGTTTAACCCTCCTTAGCTGTTTAAGTAAGAAGTCGCCTTCTTTAGCGAATATACGCTTAATATTAGCTATATTACTATGTCGCTTAGTCTAGCTACTACTCAATTCTTTACGCAACTAGCTAAAGAAGCCTATCAATTCTATATCCGCTATATACGATTAATAGGAAGCGACCGAGGCTAGAATTAGACTTAATAGCAGTCCACCTGCTAGACTAGAAGCTGCTATAGAAGCCGCTAGTAGACTAAACAACCGAGAGCGCTTTTGAAGAGCCCCTTGCTAGCTATAGTAATTGTGGATTACTGTAGGGGTTAAAGCGCTAATAGCGGCCGTTCCAACTGTCCGTAGAGTCTTAAATAGGTTAGCTAGTTGCCTGCCCCTGTTCTTCTATATCTTTAATGCTAGTGCGGAGCCTAGATTAGTAATAGACAAGCGACTATCTCGTACGCCTTTCACCTATCGAGAGGCAATCTTAGGGTAGATTTTATAGTAGTCTTCCGCTCTATCCGGACCGCTAAACTAGCAAAGTCTACCCTTGTTAAGGCAGTATCTGTTCTTATACGGCTATCGCTTTGCTAACTCGTAACGCTAATCCGATAGTGAGCTAGTTAAACCGCTATTATTGTTATTAGCTTTAGCTTCCGAGCTATTAGATTGGCCCTCGGCGGCTTCTATCTAGCTCGTATACAGAGCGTCTAGTTGTTGCTATATAGCTGTTATACGGGCTCTAGTTGTCCGGCTTCGACGACCTTGTAAGGCTCTATTCGTAGTACAAGGCGGCTCTTTAATTGTTACTGTCTTCCGGCGCTTAATCGACAACTTAAAGTCTAGTCTCAACCCCTTCTTACCCTAAGAGTACTAAGAGGCTAGCATGTTGTACGCACGTTAGAAATTGCCCTTCTGGACACTAGTACTACGGAAATAGTGCTTAGTCTTGATCTTGTCCGCTAAGGCGATAATCTCCGAGCTAGCTAACTTATAGTCGTCGTCGTTAGTACTAGTATTACGCTAATTAGCGTACTAATCGTAGAATTCCTCGTAGTAAGCCTCGCTATTACCGGTAGTCTTACGAGGAAAGCACTTAGTCGTAAGCGGCAACCGTAGGTTAGTTAGATTAGCTATTATCTACTACAATACGTACTCGAAGACCTCTGCTTCTTATTCTATAGCTTTATCTTCCTCTTTAGCCGATATATAGTCCTCGTCGTCTACGCCAATTTGCTAGGTTAGCTAAGTCTTACTAAGTAACTCGTCATCCGTATTAGGTCCTTTACTTAGCTTAACGGTCGGCTCTCGGCGGCTCTTCTTAGTAGCTCGTTTGTTAGTAGATTGCTATAGAGCGAGGGCTTCTTTCCTCTTAGAAGAAGGCTTCTACGGTCGCTTAGAGGCTCTTAGTATAGCGACGGCTTATTAACTGCTTCCGGTTTGGCCTTGTTCTTAACCCCAATCGTTACTAGAGGACCTAAGTGGTTGGTAGTAAGAAAGGCTTTCGTTCCGTCCCTAGATTGCCACCAATTTTGTATGGTGTGGGTGGGTCTACGGCAAAACAGTGGCTACGCGGAAATATCCATAGTCTCCGCACATGGCGCGACTTTTTGAATACAGCAATAAGCCGAGAAACGAGACCGATCGATTCAACTGGCATCAGTGTAAGTGGAAGAATTCATCTGTGGGACGCCTTTGCTGACGGATGTATAGATGATCCACAGTTGATTAACGATCAACCTGTTACTGTCCAGATCGTAGGTGGAAGGTACGGAGAAGAAAGGGCAGTGGCTGCGGCAAAGGCACTCGAGGAGGCTCTTGGAGCGAAAGAGACTACGGCTCGGCTGAGATGATGCTCGAGGTCGATGGTCGCTGATGTGCTGGCTTCTCCTTTGAGCTGTAGATCCGAATCGTCGAAGGATCCGGAGCTCTATGACGGTGCTGCGGTACCTGTGATCGCGCAGTCGACGGCAAGTGTTCGTTCAATCAATCACGTGATATGTAATATTGGTCGACATGATGAAGGAGTCTCGACAGTATTCGGACGCAGATTACAGGCCGTGTTCGTGGCCAAATGCGAAGAATAATTGTACAAATCAAGATCGCGCTCGCGCCTGATGCGATTGTATACTCTCGCATTTCGTATAGGAACCATGCAGAAACTGGGCCAGGTTTGTAGCAGCCCATGCGACCAAGACGATCCTACTCCTGAAGGACTCCAGCAGTCAGCGACCGCGAGGGCAGCAATGTATCCGAGACTGAGAAAGTTCTGAGACTGGGGTTCTCCTTTGGACATAGGACTTGTTGCGCGCCATGGTCATCCCTTGCATCGATAACGCGGATCGCTGGAATGCCAAGTGGTGCGTCTCATAGACCAGAACTCTTGACAGGTGTGCCTCACTCGTACGATCTTCCGTACATGCGCGCATTGGCTAGATGAGGCGCCCAGTTAGCAGTCTTGCTGCGGCCAGCCTGATTCTGGTCGCACTGCTCTTTGTTTGGACCACGATTCGTCAACACCAGTGGCGGCTCCAGCAACAACACATCCAGGACAGCGTCAAAGCTCACCGTGCGTCACTGAAACAGCAGAGTGCTGCAGGACAGTCGGTCAGTGCAGAATCGCAGGCTCAGGAAGCACAATCTGGAGCTTCCGTCAACCCCGACGGCGGATACGCGTATAGCTTTTACGCCACAAACGATCAATATGCCTGCTCGGTCTTGGTCAACGTGTACCGGCTGCAGCAGGATCTACGATGTCACATTCCGATTCATGTTATCGCTGCGTCGAAGGTCAGCCAGGCTTACATTTCTGCCTTCGAGGAAAGAGGTGTCACGGTTCACATCGAGCAGCCGCCTCCTTTGCCGTCGGGGGCCGACGGGTATTACATTGACTGCCTCCTGAAGCTGCTGGCCTTCAAATTGCATCGTCTCGCGCCCGGGCTGAGGCGCGTGCTGGCTTTCGATTCCGACCAGCTCATCATGCAGAATCTCGACCACCTTTTCTCTGGACTTCCCGTGGTTGATCTTGCCGCGCCCCGAGCATACTGGATCGCAAAGGACTTCCTGGCGAGCACCTTCCTCATGATCAGCCTTTCGGATCGGCTGTGGAATGATGTGAACCAGACACTGGGTCGCATTGGGTATGGCCAATTCGACATGGACCTGATCAATGACTTGCTGGGTGCGTCGGCGTTGTTCGACGGGCTGGCGCAAACGAGATGCTGACATGACTTCCAGGCGAGCACGTGATGATGCTGAGCGGCGAGTACGTCACTTTGAACAGTCACTGGGAGGACTGGAATGTGCCGCGGTGGTACCATGCCACACGGGAACTCAACATGACGACGATTGAGAAGGTGAACGCGATGGCACGGCCCAAGATGCCCACGTTTGTCGACAGTGATATCGCGGGCAGAAGCGTGACGAACTCATCTTCGCACGTGAACTTCACGACTGCGACGGCGCCAGCAGCAGCACCGACGCCGGGACCAGGAGGGTCACCCCGCGCAAAGCCCCGCTTCCCCAGCGAGCATCCTCTTTCCCAGGAGCTGTACTTGCTCCAGGAAAGTGCAGCGGTCGTGCATTTCTCGGCCGTCGGCAAACCGTGGATGGTCACCGAAGACACCATCAGGCTGTCGAAGGCCGACGCTCATCCGCTTCTGGGCGCGCAGTTTCACGTGTGGCGCGACATCGCTGCGAAGGTGTGTCCGGATTTCGCCCGTGGGCCGCTGGCGCTTCTCGTTCCGTCGACGTGAGAGGGCACAGGCAGCGCTGGTGGAGGGCGGGCGGGCGGGGCGGGGCGGGATGAAGGAGCTGGAGGAATGGAATCAGGGCAAGCGGGGATCGTTGCGATGATGGTGGTGCTGTACTGTACTGAATGATTGCAAATGCGTGCCAAGACCTGTTCAGCATCGTCACGAGTGATAATCGCCATGCCATGCCATCCCTTTGCAAGTCAGACCGGAGATTCTTGGCGAATAGGTCCCACTAATAGTTCCACTTTCCATGCAAACTTTGGTGGCGTGTCGAACGCCGATTGGGTCTACACCTGCAGCCGACCTCGCTCCGGCTAGGGTGTCGATCAGGGTTAGTAACGAGGGTCAACTAGAGCCTGTCGTAACCTCAGAGATTGACTTTCTACGCTTAAACCTAAGCAAGTAAAGGAATAATGCCGCTAAGCACACTAAGTCGACAGGTACGTAGATTTTGTAGTAGATAGACCAATACTATAGCTAATATATTATTATAGAAGAAGCCTATCCGCTTCCGCTCTGCGGAAGAGTCTAGACAACGTAGAAGGCTCCGCTCGAAAGGCATTAAATTAAGTGTAGAAGAGCTATACTAGTTAGTGCCGCTACGAAGTCTATTAAAGTGGCGATTGTCGACTCCTAGCGACTAGAATAGGGCCCTTAATAAGCGCCTTAAGAAGGTAGAAACGTAGGTAAAGGACTTGAGGGTGGATTTGAACCTGCAGCAATAGCAACAAGCGTAGGCCGTACATAAAGAGGTTAAGGGTAAAGGAGGCTCTTAAAGCGAGGAAGAGGTTGTTAGTGTCTCCGAGTTTAATTAGTTAAAGGCTAATCTCGTAGAATTGACGACGGAAGTGAGGGCATTAAAGGGGTTGCTATCGTCGTTGCTATAGGCTTAGTAGAAGGCGTTTAAACCGGCGTTGCAATAGCTAAAGTACTCGTAGAAGTAGACGGTCTATCGTCTACAAATATTGGCCTTTAAGCCTCGCGGTGGCTTCTAATATCTCTTATGTTATGCTAGTCGTAGAAACAGAGCTTGCAAAGGTTGTATTTAGGTCCGCAATTAAGGCAGGTCTTAGTAGCGTTAAGCGCTCGAGATCTACCGTTCTTAAGAGGCTACTAATTGAGGCGCTAAGCCGTACGAGTGAGGCGGCATAACTAGCACCTCTTGCAGGTTATAAGCGTCCGTTTCTTTACGTGTTTGTAGCTATAGTCAAGACGAGGTACGTTGTCTAGTAGATTGTCGTCCTTTTTGAACTAGTAGCGCCGTAGCTTCGGTAAGCCTGTATTATAATTAACGTACGTATAGCCGCCTACAAAGCGGCCCTTATTACGTAGCAAAGTAGACCTCAATTCGAGAGCCGCTTTAAACTCAGTATCTCGAATAGGACCTAGCACTGCTATACCTTCTTAAACCAGGTTCTAAGCAAGTCTTATACGGAAGTCTCGTTGTCGAGTAAGGGTTGGATCTCTTACCTTATTATCTATAGCTGTATTGCGGCAAAGGAGGAAGGAATTGATTACGGCTACGTCGAGGAGGAAATAGAATAGCGGGTGCTACGGCTTGAAGGCCTTATACTAAGTACTATAATAGTACCTGAGCTAGTTATATATGTCTACGCCGCCTATGTAATCGTTATAGTACGCCGCGTATTTAGGTATGTTCTTTGCCTCTTTGCCTTTAGTCTAGTGTAGACGTACGTAGTTGCGAATGTAGGCGTTAGTATCCCTCGGTTTGCGGCGTTCTCTCGATACTCGGTCTATAGGCTAGTGTTTAGTCGTTAGCATTTGAACGAGATTTCTATCCTACTATAGAGGCGCCGCGACATTGTAAATTGCCTTGTAAAGTAGTGTATTAAAGGGAAACCGCGTCGACTTCCGGTATAGCTTAATAGTCTTCCCTAAAGGCGTAGAGAACGACACGCCTGCCTATAGCCAACTCTTTAAGCTAGTACGTACCGTACTAGTAGCAGTAATGCTATACCATCTCAGGATAGCAAACAGGGGTATATTATTAAATAGATTGTCTAAGTAAACATAGTAGAATCGTCGTTAGAAGGGCAGTTATAATAGTAGAGATAGTACCGCTCTATAAAGCCTCGACAATTGAGATTTAAGGTTTATAGACTGAGCTATAACTGGTCCGGTTGTATCCGCTAGCGGCTTCGCGTAAAGGTTGGCGTGCTTATAAAGGCTCGGCGAAGTATCGACTGCTTTACCTACATTAATATTCGTCGCCTTTCTACGCCGCTTTCTACTATTCTAGCTATTAGGTTTAACAGCGCGGCGGCTGCGCTGATTGCGTTGCTTTTCCTAGACATCTAAGAGCTCTTCGTAGACAAGAACCGGTCCTTCGAAGCTAATAGGTAGTATTGCCTTCTCAAATCCCTACTTCTTAGTTAGGCTCGAGAATAACCAAGAAACGATGAATCTAGCACAACAAAGCGCTAATACATAGTAGCCGACAGGACAGGGCTTCCCCTTTATCATTATAATATATGAAGAGCGTCTAGTAAATCGTACGAGGACTTTATCGAGGCTGACGTTAGTACTAGGTATATAGACCTTCGAGATTTGACTCCTTAGCTTGTTAGCTAACTACTGAACCTATAACTACGGCGGATTGCCCTTGCTCGACTCGACGGGCTCGCTATACTGCAGACACGCCTTCAACTGCCTGAATCTCTTCTCGGATATGTTCTTAGTAATAGTATACGAAGGCCAATAACCATCAGATCGCTAGAAGTCGGATTTGTCGTCTATTTGGATAGCGGACATATAGATAATAATTCCTACGAAGATCGCCATCTCGTACGGGTACGTCTTCGTCCACTTCGCACTAAATACAACGACCTCAATAACGCCGCTATTGTTTATCTTCTTGAACTTCGGATCCCTCGTATACTCGTTTGTATAGAAGGCTAACTTCTTATATACCTCTGCAGGCTATAACTGCTGGAAATACCTCTATAGCATATTCTAGCAGTCTTCGGAAGTTAGCCTCTCGAAGGCCTTGCTACGACAGTCCATACCCTCGAAGAAGCGCTTATTTAGTAGCAACCGCACCTCCGGTTAGCACTTAACGCTATACAAAGGTGCGTATTTTACACCTTCTATTACCTTCGACTAATTAGGAGCCTGCGCTAGGCTACTAATATCCGCGAGCGTAGTGCCTTTAGCAACTATACCGTTAATAATATCGCTAGCAACAAGCGGCTTATTGTCGTCGCCTTTAGGCTCGTATTCCGCACTATAGACTAGCCTAATCTGCTTACAACTAGCGACTATCTCTTGCGACTCAATACTATTAATTTCCTCTTCCGGCTCTACTCTAAGCGCACCTACGTCGTATACCGCATCGTCGTCTATATCGGACTAGTGTCTGTCGTCTTCATCGAATATAGCGGTATTAGAATACTAAGAAGAAGCTATTATATAAAAGAGCCGGATTAGGTTGTAATAGGCTTCGAGCCTTAAAGTTAATCGGACTGCTAGCGACTCAGAAACAGGCCGAATACGGCGGTAGAACAAGAGGCGGAAGAGTGGACACACACTATCCTAAAAGCGTACCCTATAAGCGACCATTTACTATGCTATCTAAGGTGTAGCGCTATCTGCACACCCTGGCTATGCAGGGGACACTGTATAAACGATCTTGTCCGTCCAGTTTTCAAAGGGATGCTATATATGCTGTAGCAGATGCACGCACATGAAGAAACGACAGGTGTCTGTATTCGGTACTATGTATATTAGCAACTGCAGGGGTAGCACGGGGCATATAGAGTTGCTAGCAACTCCAACTATACTAAGCCCCGCTAAACCTAATACAAATCGTACTCTTAGCATTCCCACAATCTCCGCTAATCCTAAATTCCTTTCTATATAACCTCTTCTAATAACTACTATACTATACAATAGACCTATCTACGCCTAACGATGTCGGTACCCTTTAGCGGCTTCGACAACGAGTGTTTAACCTTATAGAAGACATTAAAACAGACACTAAGGGTTAGAAATTGATATAGAGACTATATAGCAATTAATATACTTAGAAATCTATTAAGAAGCTGTCTATAACAACGCCTAATACAGAGACAGGGCTATACTATAAGAAGTCCTACTTCTATTATATAGAAAAGCAGCGCCTTAATAAGCTAAATAAGGAAGCAGTAGGTGTTAAGGATAGGCGTATATTTAAACCGCTTAAGAAGGAGTATAGAATAGGCTTCGTTACTAAGGTTGAATACTATAACAATAACGCTACTAGAAGAGTTAGTATTCGTCGCTATACTGCTATAACGGAGTATATATATATACTCGACTACCTTAATAGCCGCAAGGTATGCTAGTATATTAGAGATAAGGTTAAGAAGCAAATCGATTACTCGCTATAAGCTAGAAGAACCTTCGACGCCTTATAGGAGCAATATAGTAACAATCTCGGCGTATCTTATCTCGATATTACTGCTATATACAATGCCGCTAAATAGTCGCCTTATTACAACCGTAATAAGCGCTTTGTAACTCTAGAAGAGAGAGGCAATATAGAGCTTCAATTAAAGGGAATTACGAAGACTACAAACGATAACAACCTATACTTTAAGGAGTTTAGTATCTACACTAAAGATAGTATTAGAAGGGGCTTTGTATAGGCTTCGGAAGAGGGCATTTAGCTACTAATAAAGTATAGCAAATTGATACTGCTAGACGACATATACGAAGTTAACTAGCTCGATTAGAAGTTGTTTAATATCTTAGTATACGATAACAATGTTAAATAGCGGCCTATAGTACACGCTTTACTAGAAAGCAAGCATAGTGTTGTCTACGTACAGGCACTTAGACACCTGTCTTCTTAGGGTCGTTATAGCGAGCCTAGCGGCTAGCAATTACAATAGTCTATTAGTAATAACTTAGCATCTAAACAATAGGCTATTAAAGACATCTTTCTATAGGCGTATACCTATCTTTGTATACGGCACTTATTACAGACTATTCGCCGCAAGTTTCTACTTAAAGGCCCCTATCGGAAGGTCTATAAGAAGCTAGTATAGGTTATGCTATACGCAGAGTCTAAGCAGGAGGTAGAGGTTGGAATACAGGCTGCTTTTAATGCCTTGCCTCGCGGCAAGAACGACAACCTATATAATTATATAATACGAGAATGGTTAGTTGAGCACGCCTAGATATAGACTACCTGCGAGCGGAGGAACAACCCCCTACTTATACGCGTAAGTACTATATAATAGCTACCCTCTGTCCTCTTCTAACCGATCGTTGCTAACCGTTCTTGCTTAGATACGCACAACTTCGCTAGTCGAAGGCTACTACTCGGATTTCAAGAGCGGCATGCCGCATTACGACTATTAAAGCCAACTTCTTACTCTCCGGTTGCCTTATATACTCGTTAGACATCGATAAGAAGTGGCACAATAACGCAATAAAGGCCTCTACTAAGGACAATATGCTCTACCTGTTTAGTCGCCTTTAGGGTGACTATAAGCGGTTTAACGAATTGCTATACTGTCTATAAAGCCTTATTGCTAAGCAATATCAATTAGCTTAAAAGCGTACAGACAACAGCCTTCTAAACTGGTTAAGATATTAACTACAGATCGACAACTACATCCCTAATATATGCTAGTATTACTTCTAGAAGCAGTATTACTAACCGTGTCGGCATATCTAGTACGATTAAGAGATTAAAGGCAATAGAATAAGTGCTAAACAGGTAGATTGCTATATAGACCGTTTCTTCGACCCTAAGGGCTTTAACGGCGATATTAATTCTACTAAGACACACTTAGAATAGCTTATTAACGAGAATCTACTAGAAGAAGATAAGGACGGTAAGGTCGACACTCTTCGCACTATTACAAAGGACCGCTATCTTCTATTGCGTAGTATACTTGAGAATATTACATACGACTATTATTAGAAGGCAAAGCAGGCGGAGGCGGTTATTCAGAATTCTAGCTAACTTGTTACACGCCTATCGGACTAATATTGCTATATAGTATCAGGCCGAATATATGCGACTGTCGGCGGCGGCAGAGCTATTACAATAGCTCTAGCAATATTAATAGCGATACGACAATAGCACGTTGTTTGCTATCTAATAGGCGTAGGTCGAAATAGGCGTCGGCGCCTTACTATTAATCTACTACTACTAGCGATAGCACCCGCGACAACAACCTTATTAAATACAATAGCCGCGGTAGGTAAGGGACCTATTCGCGCTAGGCGAGGGCACTTAACGCGCGCTAGAGTATACGGCGACTAACCTTTATACTAATTAGTATAGATACAGTTACTAACCTCCTCCGCCGTCCTTCTAGCCGCCTTCCTCGTCGCAATTTGAACCTATATAGGTTACTAACTCGGTACTTTATAATACGTACGCCGCAGGCGACGGCACCTTCTAATATAGCATACCTTCTTTAAACGACGGCAGTTCAATAGACGTTATGCGCTACGTCCTTTACTAACAGCGACTTCTATATGCGCCTGCTATACCGAGCGGTCTTCGTTACTCTATAGCCGCCGCTAATACACCTATACCGTAGCTATTAGACCTGCGATAATACACGCTAATCGATATATTACAACTTAGTTACGAGGAAGCTTCCACCTTTATTAGAGACCGCCGATTTCTATTAGAAGAACGGCAACGAGTGTTTAATAGCAGGACCTTTAGTAGCGGTAGCGGTAGTAGACATAGTAGCGGTAGATATAGCGGCAATAGACAATAAGGGCAAGAGCAAGTAGATACACCTCGAATTCAGCGCACCGGCTATACTACACGTTAACTTTGGCTTTATTCAGTTATCGCTAGCGACCTTGGTTGAAATTACTAAATTCCTAAAGCCCTTTTAAATTTGAAGCACATTTCAACTAAATTTATTAGGGGAGTTGCTAGCAACTCGAAGTAGGGGGTAGGACTAGGGTAAAAGTAGGTCGAGCCAATTAGCGCGAGTTGCTAATATATAGACCACTCTGTATTCTAGCAACGCGCTAATTCTCGGGTAGCGCATTCCGTAGAATCTACAATTAAATAACGTTTTGTATGCCCCGCTAAGACTATGAAATTCGTATGCATTCGCGTTATAATTTTGGGAATTTCAAAATCACTACTACCTCGTTACCTCTATTATCGCTACAATGGAGGATCTACCGGTTGTCGCTATACCTAACGGCAATAGCGATGCGCTTAGCAATCTTAGCGTCCTTCGCGATAGGCTCTTCCTTATCGATAAGGATATACCGCTGTCCTATGCTAAATAGATTGTTGCTATTAAACTGATGTCTAATATGTATAGCTATACTCGTATAACAGTCCCTAAAGTAGACCGCAATAGCAGTATCGTTTCTAGGTCCTATTACAAGTATATTAAGGCTAAGCGGACAGAAGCGGCGGAAGCAAAGAAGAAGAAGGTCGAGGATACTATTTCTAGTCGCCTAAAGCTAGAAGTTAGAACATACGCCCTTCGAGCCTTATAGGCTCAATCTTGTTGTATTACGGTACTACGATACTATCGATAGTAAGCCTACGAAGGTTCTTGTCTAGCGTACCGATTATCGACAAAAACATACCTATACCTTGCAGCATAGCGACGCTCGGCGGACTAACGCATACCTAAAAGAGATAGGTTAAGAGAAGCTAGATAGATTACTACGGGTTAGTCGTACGAGAGACTTTTTAAAGGATAACTATAGCAACATTAGTAGCTACGCTATTTAGTATTAGACGTTGTATAACCTAGCAAGAAGCTTACCGTACTACAATCGAGATAAGCGCTATATTGTCCCCGGTAAAAGCGCTATTCTACGGCAAATTAAAGAGGCGAGAGAGCGTACGATTAAGCGTAGTTATTATTGCTAGGTCTTCTAGGTACAGACGTCTAAAGGCCTTAAATAGGGCATTATATATACTACTAAGAAGGGCATTGAGCTACTTAAGAGGTATAGCGAGTTCTTATCGTAAGACGCTATCTACGACACTAATAATGCTAGCTTCTTCCTCGTTAACCTGTTCGTACGAGACGAGAACAACTTCTAATACCCTATCGCTTATATACTTATCGAGAGCTAGTATACTATTGTTCTTGCAACTAGCTTCTAGCACTTGTCTTCGTAGGCCGATTATAAGAAGCCTAGTAGCTAGCACCTTAGATAGACGATTGTTAATAACTCTATAAGCGAACAGGCTGCCTTCCGGCTCGCTTTTAACAATAAAGTTATAGTCTATCTATGCTAGCGATACGTTGTCGAGACTATTAGAAAGAAGTTTAGTATTAAGCGTAGGTATAAGAAGATATAATAGGCTCTATTTGGTACGCTGTATTTTGCAGAAGACTATAACGAGGCTCTTTAATATATATAGCTTATAGAAGCCTCGCTACTAGGTAGTTAGCAGGATCCATTAGCCGCCTACTTTAAACGAGAGTAGACTATTGAGTACGCCGAGCTCTAGTGCGTATACGCTCGACGGGGCAATCTACGCGTTTTATAGGTAAATATAGCTGTTTCTTCCTAATCGCGTACTACGGTTAGAGCTGACTTTCCTCGTAGACGCGTACTACTAGCTATATTAAAGGCTATTATGCCTATTTCAAGCGAGGCAACGAGACGACAATCTACAACTAGTTACTCGTAGGTGCCCTTACATACTCTCTAGATATTAACGACTACTAGTATAACAAAGCCGACGTTGCTAAAGCTTCTATGCTATAATTGCTACTTTTCCGCTTCCTTAGATACTCGAGGCTTTAAGAATTGCTATACTATCTATAGATAAAGATTAGTAAGCAGTATAAGATTGCACGTTTACGGTACGAGCGAGGTACTATTGCCTAGTCTCGTTTTAAACCTGCCCTTAACGAAGAGACACCTTCTAAGTGCCCCTGCCTATTCTTCCTTAGTTAGTACTAGCCTTACTGCTATATACTGTTTAATAGCGAGTTTAAGGATAACTAGTTGTCTCGGAAGCAGGTAGACGAGTATATAGACCGCTAGAAGGCAATAGACAGTAGACAAGGCTTAAATAACACCTCGACGGTCTACGAGGAGTAGTTTAACAGTAATTGTATGCTAGTCGACGACCTAGCTACGGCAGAACTAGAAGGAGCTGCTAGCAACGGTGTATTAGAGCGCAATTACTATATTCTTCTTTATTACATTATCGACAACTTTAAGGAAGACTTCTACCGCCTAGCGAGGGCCGCTTAGTTAATAGACAACCTCTTAAAGAAGGACTACAACGACTACATTTAGTATCTCTATAAGCACTATTCGAAGGTTGTTAGCGAGGCGATCTACTAACTATTAATAGACTAGTAGCTCGAGAAGGTGAAGTTAGACAACGACTTCTAATATCAAATTAACTAGACTCGCGATATCTTTATTAATAACGACGACGACGACGACGACGATATCGATAACTAGGTCCTTAGCACAATAGCTAATCTAGAAGACGCGACTTATATTAGTAAGATACGGCTTAGTTAACAGGCGCCGCTGCTGCTATCGTTCTCGTTACAACCCTTCTTTCCGACTTAATATACTACGCGCGTATTAAACGACTTCTAATCTACCGCCGGCGGCAATAATATAGTATAGCGGCAATAGCGAGAGCGACTACTTACTAAGTCGCTACCTAGCGGAAATGCTACCTTCTATGCCCTTCGTACCTGCTACGCCGAGCTGTTTACGCTATTTAACTACCGCCGCCGATAGCGACCTTAGTTAGACCGAGAACCTTCTATAAAACATACTAATCCGACTGCCGCTAAACGCAGATATATAATAGTAAAATAGGCAGTTTAAGCTATACTATAATCTATAGACAGGCGCTATAGAGCGATACGAGATACTACTATAATAGGCACTAAACGAGGAGGTCCTAGAAGAGTAGGTAGAGCGAGTGCGATAGTAGCGATAGCGAGGTAGATAGACAGCTAATTAAGGCAAGAGCGCGATAATAATACCTCTATTTTGCTATACTATTAATAGCTTACTAACACTTTGGCTTTATCTATCGCCGTTGCTAGCGACGGCGAGGTATTGCTAGCGTTGCTAGCGTTGCTAGCATCTTACCCGGTTCCTAGCAATATGTTGCTATAACGTGGGTTTTGCGTCATTTTGTGGGACTCGCGTACTTCCGGAGGTACGTGCGCTGCCAAGCGTTGCCAGAATACAGACACCCGAAACGACGACGTCAGGAAGGAAGGTGCAGCTCCGAGTGGACGAGATCGGCATCCCGATCGACTCCGCACGTGTCCGGCTCGTGTTTGCTGCCGATCCCGATCCTCCCGAGGTCTGTGCGGAGGGCCGGGGGCGAGGCGAGCCGGGATTCTACTGCGCTGAGCTGAGCTGAGCTTCTGCCGGCGCGGTGGTCGCGACATGATTCCCATACCACACCGGCTCTGGGAGAAGGGAGAACGAAGGTGCGCGGCATGGCTTTCAACTCATCGGCCTCGGCGTCGTGGACGTCGCCCGGGGCGGGCATCACCGGCGGCTACGATGGCAATGACGACACGCTCCGCTACTTCATCGTCTTCTTTTGCGCCCTCGCCATGTACAACGCGTGCGAGTAAGTCGCGGTCGTGCGATGACCACACGCAGCAGCATCGCGCTGACTCGACAGGCTCGTGATCATGGTGTTCCTGTCGTTCACGCATTTCCACGGACTCTACTTCTGGTCACTGCTGGTCTCCGGCGTGGCCATCATCCCCTACTCGCTGGGCTTCCTGCTCAAGTTCATGAACATCACGACGGGAAGCGCGCAGTGGCTGGCCGTCGTCTTGCTGACCGTGGGCTGGTATCCGATGATTACCGGTCAAGCAGTCGTGCTCTGGTCTCGACTCCACCTCATTGTCACCGGCAAGAAAGGCGAGCGCATCCTGTTCTGGACCAAGTGCATGATTGTCATCGATGCCGTCTGCCTGCACATTCCGACGACGGTCCTCACCTTCGGCGCAAATGGCTCCGTCCATACCCATGTCTTCGAGACCGGCTATAACATCATGGAGAAAATTCAGATGATCGGCTTTTTCTTGCAAGAGGTCACCCTCTCCTCCATCTACATCGTCGAGACCGTCACCCTCCTCCGCACCTCGCTGCAGCCGGGAACCCGCAAGACGATGAAACAACTCATTTTCATCAACGTCGTCATCATTCTCATGGATCTTGCCTTGCTGGGGCTCGAATGCGCTTCCTTGTACATCCTGGAGACACTGCTGAAGGGCGTCATCTATTCCATCAAGCTCAAACTCGAATTCGCCATCCTTTCCAAGCTGGTCAAGTTCGTGGGCAGCTCTTCGGCCCAACCGGCACCCCAGCAAGACATGCGCAAGGCTTCAATCGGCTTTGTCACCACCGATGGCAAGACTGACCGGGACATGAACGTCCAAGACTTCGTGCATCTCCACAGAATCAGCACCGACATTACCCATCCGTCTCAATCGCACAGATATTCCGACTCGATGGCTTCTCGTCGTAGAAGTGCGCGTCATCCGAGTGGCAATCTGGAACTGGATCTGGCCCGCTTCGAGCACATCGAACATGTCTCAACCCTTGGAGACGTGAGCTCTCGAAGCTCTCATTCGTCACATCCACACGGAGAAGTGTGAAATCTCTGACTGCCAAGCGAACAAAATCTGCACAACCTCAGGGATGCATGGTCTTAAGATGAAGATGCATCCGGATCGATTTTGTCCGAGACCGAGCCTTCGTCGTTCTCAGGAGCCGACATGTAGGAGGCTCGCTCAGGCTTTACCTGCTCGTATTGATGGCCATCGTGCGTGCTATCTTCTCACTCACGACTACAGCAAACAGTGGACTCGCCTCGACGCCCACACCTATTCACGGGGAATGAACGTGGCGACGGAGAGGTCCACTCATTGCCCAGATTGTGAGAAGTGACAGGGACTTGTTCCTGATGCGCGATCATGCTGAAGAAAGTTGCAAGGGAACATCGAAGAGGACGCAAAGCAGCCTCGGTACCTGCCCTGCCCTGACCCTGACTTCGAGTGCAGGATGTTTGAGCTCAATACTGGAGGGTACTGAAGTGATGGATGAGGCATTAGCACTGTATCTTTCCGGTCATGGATGTGTGAACACGCATGCCAACGCTACACCCAGCTGAAAGACGACGTACCGAGGTAGCCCTCGCTCCGCCAGCCATATCTTGGCACGCTGATCTGTCACGTCAGCGATCTAGCTCAGCTCAGCTCACTATTCTAAGCTTGCCCGCAGGGAACCCCGACCTAGGTAGCCCGCGTTCTACAATTCAGAGCTTCCGTGCTCTTCTGCTTCCACTTTCAGTATGGTAACTTACGGGATTGCAATGGAATTGAAGGACACATTATCATGGACCAAAAGTCCATTAATCATCAATGCTCCCGTAAGCACTGGGATTCATCACTTGGCAAAGCGTGCGTTTCACTGACCAAGACCGTGATCCAGATGGGCGGCATAGCTACTGCAGACCTAGCAATCGCAGTCACCAAAGCTGGCGGACTCGGCCAAATCGGCGGAGTGCCTGACTATGGAGATCTGTCGAAGCAGCTGTCACAAGCAGAGTCTGCTCTCGGCCGCACGAGCAATGGCCTCCTTCCCATCGGCGTGGGAATCTTGTCCTTCCTCATGTCACAAGAGGACACCATGCCCATTCTAGAGAGATATCGGCCTGCTGTCGTCTGGATCTTCGCATCTCACAACCTATCGGACTATTCTGCATGGGCGAAATCGATCAGGGAAAGACTTCCCTCCAGTCAACTTTGGATCCAGATTGGCTCGGTGGGAGGCGCAGTTCGAGTTGCGAAAGATGCGAAACCTGATGTCCTGTGTCTGCAAGGCATCGATGCAGGCGGGCATGGATTTGAGAAGGGAGCAGGAATCATTTCGCTGGTGCCGGAGACCATCGATGCCTTGAAGGCCGAAGGACTCGAGGGAAAAGTGAGCGTATTGCAGATGGCAGAGCGGTCGCTGCCGCACTCGTGTTGGGTGCTGAGGGCGTGGTGATGGGCACGAGGTTCCTGAGTGCGCCAGAGACCAGAGTGCATCCGCAGTATCGTGAAGCTATCATTCACGCCAAGGATGGTGGACAGAGTACGGTCAGAGACAAGGTTTTCGATGAATTGAGAGGACCAAATCAATGGCCTGGTGATTACGATGGAAGAAGCATCCGGTACGTGGATCTCCTTCCTCGAGAAAAATGGACGTGCTGACTTACTGTTGCTTGCAGGACAGCCAGTTATCGAGATAAAGCAGAAGGCGTGCACATTGACGAAATTCGGCAACGACATGCTGATGCCGCTCTCGGCGAAAGTGCCGGCTACGCGGCGGATGGTACGAGCGGGAGGGCGGCGACTTGGGCGGGCACTGGAGTTGGGCTGGTGACCAAGGCACAGCGAGCTGCTGAAGTCGTGGAGGAAGTGAGGCAACAAGCGGCTGCATCACTCGAAGCAGTCAGATCACGATTTCAAGATACTGCGAACTGAGGACATCTGCAGAAGATCAAACGTTGCATTCATTGATGTCGTAAAGCCTTGATATGCATATAGCCATGCTGTATCAACCATGTATGAGATCATCCTCTTCGATTTGGTGCTCCGGAATACTCTGGAGTGGGGACTTCTAGACCGCAGCATGACCGGTTGTCTTCGCCTTGTGGAGATTCGCCACAGAATTCACGCGACTCGCTGATGGCGTGCCTCTCGGAGTTCCTCGCGGAGTGATTCTGCTCTCTCCAAAGAAGCGGTTCTGCTGGGAGTATGAACGCTGTCCCGGACCTCGTCGAGATTGGCTTGCGTAGCCTAGAGGATGCTTAGCTATTGTAGAACACACCATGGAACATTCAGACTTACTGCCTCGGCGAGATCCACCATAAGCAATCGCGCTTGGGCGCCTTCCTCCGTCGACGCTGGCGTTCCTCGCTTCCTGGGCAAGCTGCTGCGCGAAGGGCGAGCGGGCACGGAGTGTCGGACCCTTCCAGTAGATGACATACACGGCAGCCACAAGGATCGCGGAGATGCAGAAAAGAATGGTGCAGGCATACTCGAGATTGTTGCCGCTGCTAGCCCCAATGTTCGAGAAGAAGGGAGTGGCGGGAACGGTGAGAATACCGGCGAGAAAGTCGCGAGACCATCCGTTCCCTCCAGTTGCAGACGCAGAGTATGGACCATAGGCACAAATCATATAGTCAATGGTCGCCATGTAGATGGAGTAGTTGGCAATACCGACGACCGCCGCGAAAATCATCGATCCTATCCAGTGAATCGGAGGGCCTTGAATCGTCCAAGCGAAACCAATCAATCCGATGGGCAGGCATGGTGCAGTGTAGAGCAGGAACCACAGGCGAGATTCGTACTGTGCGCGCTCGTCGTCCGGTTTTGCCGCGCGTTCCTTGATGTTGCGTCTGATGGCTGGAATGAAGAGGGCCCATGCAATGACATAGCCCACCCCGATCGAGATGAAGGACAGGCCGACCTGAACCGCGTCGAAATTCCACTGCTCGTAGACCAGTGCGAATGACTGAATGAACATGAAGATCAAGGCGTCGGAGAAACCTGACAGAAGCGACAAGACCAGGACGATTGGCTCGGTCAAAAACATCTTGAAGGGACGAATCCACGTGATCAGCACTTCCTTGGCGGAGAATCGATCCTTGAACGGCACGAGCTCATCGGGACCCCAGCAGTTGGCCTCCGGATTGGCCTTTCTGCGCTTCTTCGCTATTCGGTTCAACATGATGGTGGTGCGAGTTTCCGGCACGGTCAAGAAGTGCAGGATCTGGACAAACCCGCCGAATATGAGCTGGATCCAGATGGACCATCTGTGGTGGTGTCAGCGTCGGGAATCGCAGTGATTGCGGTATTCGGGGACGCACCTCCAGCTGAGATATTGCTCACTGAAACCACCCACAATTGGACCCAAAATCGAGCCACCCACAGACGAGAACACAACGTATGCGACGGCATATTGCTGAGTGTCTGCCTCCCACATGTCGGCAATCATGCCCAGGGTGACGGAGCCACCGGCGGATGACAGACCACCCAGGGCTCGTCCGACCATGATGGTGGCGAAGTTGTTTGCCAGGGCCACTGGGAGCTGCCAGATGTTGACGAGGAAGAGTGAAAGCTGGAGGATGGGCCAGCGTCCGAATTCCTCCGACCATGGGGCCCACAGCTCGCAACCGAATGCATAAGTCACCAGGAAGATCATGGCACCGCACCTCGCCGCCTGCGCACTGACGCCGAATTCCTCTGCAATGCCAGGAATGGCATTGCTGTACAGAGACGTGTTGAAGTTCATGGATACCTGGACGATGAAAATGACGGTGAGGATGTACCACTTCTTCCCGTTCGGATAGCAAAAGCCCAGCTCTTCGTAGCAGTCATCCTCGGTCAACTCGTACTTGTCGTGTGCGCCGAGCTGGTCCCGCTTGGCTCCATTCGCTGAGGCATGCTCATGCTCCTTCCCCACGCGCTCCGATCTGTCGTTGCTGCCCGTGTCGTCCTTGCAGGAGTGTTCGCCGGCCTCGAGTTTCTCGTCGGCGTGATCGAGGCCAGGCTGGTTCATGAGCTGAGGCGAGTCGTGGGATGAGTGAGGATGGGAAGCCATGTCGATGCGGCGGAAAGGTGCGATCGAGACGGCAGCGAAAGATATGTTACGAAGACATGCGATCAGAGCTGAAAATGCGCGCCTGTGCACGACATGGCCGGCCACGGCGGGGATGGGGATGGGGATGGGGATGGGGATGTTTGTCGAAGGAACGCATGCAAGCGCAAGGGCCAGTGGCAGTCGCAGATGGGCAAAGCGCCTTCCAATGCATGTGCTCCACCCCGTGCCACTGCCACTGCCTGACTGGCTCGCGTGCCGTCCTTGCCATCGCTTCTCAGTAAGCTTTGGTGCTAAGCGCTTGCTTCGACGTGGCGTCGAGCTTGACACGCACGATCATCATGTTAGTCTTGTCTTTTGCGGAGTCCTCGTGGCAGCACGAATCATTTCCCTTTCCAGCGCAGCGCAGCGTGTTCCCGAGGATGCCGTGGAACTCTTTCGCGCTTGTGCTGTGCCGTGTCTGCGATGTCCGCGTCTGCGATGTGGTCACACGAGAGAGGACGATGTCCTGCTCCTGCTCCTGCTCCTGCTCCTGCTCCTGCTCCTGCTCCTCCGCTGCACTCCTCCGCTGCACTCCTCCGCAGCGTTTCGCCGTGCAGTGCGGGCGCAAATCACACTCCTGCTGGCCCATCCTTCCTTCCCTTCGTCAATCCGGGTACAAGGTTCCTTGCGTGAGATCGCCGAGACCGACGCGCCCGGGCCGAAGAGCTTCGCACAGCCTTGGCCATGTGGACATCCCGAAGCGTGCATCTCCAGCTGTGCACGGTGGCCGTGGAAGCACGTCTGGAGTAGAATATGCCCGTTCGCAGCCGGAAGGCGCGAAGTTCGATGCAGCTGTGGAGAGCCCTTTCCACCACGTTCCCTCCCTGGTGAAGAGCGCAAGCTCCGCGCAAGTATTCGAGAAGCTGACGGGCCGGTCGAAATCATGGTCATCCCAGCCAGGCGATGAGAGGGAGCCGCGTTGGTCAGCACCACACACACCGACGTGGGAGTTGGAGTCGACCGGACTCACGACGTGACGTGGGCACGTGTAGACTACCGTGACTTCTCCGGCGCGTGCGCATTGATGAGAACCACACCGCGCACGCATTCAGGCTAAGCCGCGCTTTCAACTGCCGTACGGATATTCGAGAGAGCAAAGCGGAGACCCATGGCCGGAAGCGCAAGCGGCCAATGTAAGTCCACTGCCATCTCCCATTTGTCGCTGCGCCTTCCGACAGGAAAGAGAAGAGATGGCCATCCGTTCCCTCACATGCATCTCGTTGCTATGCCTCGCAGCGAGTCTCCCTTCGGTGCTCGCATTGCATGCCAAGCCGAATCAGGTCATCCGCCCATACAAGCGCGAGCCATTGCAAGACATCGTGACCTGGGACGAGGTATGCGACCCTCATATACTCGTCCGATGACTGATGCGACGCCCGCTGATTGGCATAGCACTCCCTCTTCGTTCATCGCCAACGAGTCCTCTTCTTCTCAGGAGAGTTCCATCCTTTTCGTTTGCCCTCTCCTTCCCTCTGGCTCGACATCCTGCAGAAGATCAAGGCGCTGGGCTACAATGCAGTCTCGGCATACTGGGATTGGGCACTGGTGGAGGGAAAACCAGGTCATTATCTGGCCGAGGGTGCATTTGCTGTGGAGCCATTTCTCGAGGCTGCTCAAAAGGCAGGTCTGTACGTTTTGGCTCGACCGGGCCCATAGTAAGATCCCTTCTGGTACTCGATCCGGAAAAGCGCTGATGGGCGTCAAAGTATCAATGCGGAAGTCTCGGGTGGAGGATTCCCGGGATGGTTGCAGAGAAATCCTGGAAAACTGAGAACAAGAGATCAAAACTACCTCGACGCCACTGACAACTACCTTTCTCACATCGGTCGAGCCATAGCAAGATACCAGATCACCAATGGAGGTCCCGTAGGTCACAGGACGACACTGGTCGGCATATGCTCCTTCTGACTTCGCGCTCAGGTGATCTTGCTTCAGCCCGAAAACGAATTTTCGCCATATCCAGAACTCCCAGACCCCGTGTACTGGAACCATGTTGAACACCAATATCGCAACGCAGGCATTGTGGTCCCATTCATCAACAACGATTCGCCTCCGTATGGATACTTCGCACCCGGCCCGCCACAGCGCTTCAATGCAGTGGTCGATATATATGGCCACGATGGGTATCCTGTTGGCGAGTACAGTGTGGTATACTTACCAGAGCATGTCGTCTGACAGCCTATAGGCTTCGACTGTGCCAACCCAGATCAGTGGCTGGACGCCAGACTGCCATCGGACTGGGGCGATCTTCACCAGAAGCAGAGTCCGAGCACGCCTTATTCCCTCGTGGAGTTCCAGGGAGGTGCTGCACAACCTGCAATGCGTCCATGCACGATACTGACGACAAACAAGGCTCTTTCGACCCCTGGGGCGGATCAGGCTTCATCAACTGCTCCAAGTTGACCGGTCCTGAATTCCAACGAGTGTTTAATAAGAACAACTACGGATTTGGAGTCACGATCTTCAATACATACGTAAGAATAGGAAAAGCATCACGCACATCGAGAATCCCACTGACAATCCGTAGATGGCATACGGCGGGACGAATTGGGGTGCGAAGTAGAGACGGTAAAGACGAGTGAGCGCGACTGATCTCTTTTAGGCAACCTCGGCTTTCCGGAAGGCTACGCCAGTTACGATTATGGCGCTGTGATATCTGAAGACGGCCTTATTGACCGAGAGAAGTACAGCGAACTGAAACTTCAGGCGAACTTCCTGCAAGCTTCTCCGGCATACCTTTCTGCCACGCCTCAGAGCAATCACAACGCCAACGGATCCTACACGGGGGATGAAACGATTGCGGTGACCGCGTTGGTGGGAAATGCTACAAGCTTCTTTGTTGTGAGGCATGCCGCGTACAACTCTCTTACTACCGGAAGGTTCACGATCAAGCTGCCAACAACCAAAGGTGAGACGATATGAAGCGAGTGCATTGCAGCTGACATGCTGATTGATTGCTTGGAAGGTAATGTCACGATACCTCAGCTTGGAGAGCACGTATCACTCTCACTCCATGGTCGAGACTCCAAGATATATGTCACGGACTACGATGTTGGAGGCATCAACCTGCTCTACTCCACCGCAGAGATTTTCACCTGGAAACAATATGGAGATCGGCGAGTCTTGGTCGTGTACGGTGGACCAGGAGAGACGAACGAGCTTGCACTCATAGGCGGAGGGCAGACAAGAGTGACAGAAGGCGCTGGCATTCTCTCTGAAAGTAGAAATGGATCCATCGTCCTGCAATTTCCCAGCAGCTCGGCCAGAAGAATCATCGAGCTTGATTCTTGCAACCTCACACTGTACATCTTGGACAGGGCGAGCGCCTACAAATCCTGGGTTGTAGATTCTTCTCCGATGCCTGCACTGACAAGCCCGATCATCCAAGGACCCTACCTCGTGCGGACGTATACCATTCATGGCACAGCTTTCCACCTCACTGGTGACGTCGATTCAGACACCACGATTGAAATCCTGGGTGGCGCGCCTCACCCTCTTACAGTTCTGACATGGAACGGCATCTCGGTATCCTTCAATCAATCTCGCTCTGGTGTCGTCAAAGCTATACTTCCGTTCTCCAAACCGATCTACAGCCTCCCGGATCTTAGCTCTGCCAATTGGAAGGTCACCAATTCCCTCCCCGAGCTTTCTCCTTCCTATGATGATGCGCTCTGGCCTTCTGCCTCCCTCAACTACACAAACAACACGTCCATTCGCAATCTCACGACACCCACGTCGCTCTATTCTGCCGATTATGGCTTCCATTCGGGGCACTTTCTCTATCGTGGCCACTTCACCTCGAATGGGAATGAGAGCACATTCTTCGTCCATCTTCAAGGAGGATCCGCGTTTGCATACTCGGTGTTCCTCAACTCCACTTTCATTGCCTCGTATTCTGGAACAGCCGGTGTCGGCGAGTATAACGAGACGTACACTCTTCCCAAATTGGTAGAAGGCAAAGAGTATGTGATCACAATTCTTATGGCAATGATGGGATATACCGAGAACCAGGACTTGGGGATCGACTATCCTTCTGAGATGAAGGCACCACGAGGAATACTTGACTATGACCTTGCAGGAAGAACGAAGGATGTGGTGAATTGGAAGATCACCGGAAACAACGGCGGCGAAGACTATCTCGATAAATCTCGCGGCCCATTGAACGAAGGTGGATTGTGGGCTGAGCGGCAAGGATTTCATCTACCGGGTGCACCACTAGATCGGTGGGCAGATGGCAAGCCACAGGATGGGCTGAAGGAAGCCGGAGTTGCATTTCACTGCACGGATGTGGATTTGAGTATGCCGCAGGGTTATGCCATTCCGATCGCATTGAGTTTCGGCAACTCCACCGCTGTCGCGTATCAGGCACAAGTCTGGGTGAATGGTTGGCAATTTGGCAGGTACATCAACCACATCGGTCCCCAGAAGGTCTTCCCTGTGCCGGAAGGGATCTGGAAGTATCGTGGAAGCAACCGAGTTTGTGTCAGTCTGTGGGCTTTGGAAAGCAAAGGCGCCAGAATCGAAGACCTTCGCTTGGTCGCAGGTAAAGAGATACAAAGTGGCTTCGGGGAGGTGGAAATGGCACCTGGAAGCTCTTGGGCCCTGAGGAGTGGAGCGTATTGACGCTGCGGAGAACCTCATGTCGTTCCTTGAACTTCGCTCTATTTCTATGATTGCGCAAACTCTTTCTATTCGCACTCTTTCTGTTCGCACTCTTTCTATTCGCCTTTGACATTCCCGCTCTTGGCCTTCTTCGGGTTCCCTTGGACCACATCGTCCAGTCCCGTACCATTGACCATTGCGTATAGCCAAACCAAAACCGCGGTGGCAGTAGTCATCAGCAGCGCCGAAAATGCGAACAGGCTGTTCGGGTAAAGTCAACGATTGCATCCAATGCTGCGCGAGAAACGATACGTACCCAATTCTCTGCGTCGTGTCCAACATCTCAAATATGGGATATGGATAAAAGTTGTTGAAAGCATAGCATCGCTCGATCCAGAACCAGTATCCAAAAGCAATGGACAGACTGATGCCAAGAGCAGGAAGAAATGCTATGGTCCACGGCGGAGAGAAGAATAGCAAATCTATCACAAGAGCGATTGAAGGGACTGCGTGGAAGGATATGTCGGCTGACCAAGCGATTCGTGGTGCCCAATCTGGCAGGACGAGCTTCGGGTCGATCTGGACATACTGTTCAGTCCTGATTTGTCTCTATGCAGCCCGATTTCGCTTGCACGTACCGCTCTTAGGCCCCAGTAGAGAAGGCTGATCAAGCACTCCAGAGGCGCACTACTTACGCTCAAGGCATTCTTGATCTGGAACAAGCGGTGCGAGAGCGTCAGATCGGCCAAGAGCCCGAAGACAAACGTGGCTGTAGCCAGGGACAGGCCGATGATGGTGAGATACTGCATGTGCCAGCCATACGAGTAATTGCTGTTCGATGCGCCGTCAGCAGGAAAGCTGAGGTGGACAGGTGGGAGTGGAGTGCGAGTGGAGCTTACGCCGGGTTCGGGTTGAGGACGAGGTATGCGAATGAGTAGGCGTATGATGCCAGACCCAAGACCTAGAGGAGGGAGTCAGTCCAGCAGGCCATATTTGGCGTGGGCCTGTTGATCTCACGTGGAGAAGTGCTGAGGCTCCTCGAGAAGGCGACGGGAGTCTTTGTCGCGGATGGCGCTGGAGCAAGTGCCGGGCGATCTGTTGCTGTGCCATGCCGTGTGCCGGAGACGAGAGGGGCATGAAGGGATAACGAAAGCTTGGGTGAGGGAGTGAATGAATGAATGAATGAAGCAAGCAAAACGTCAGTCGAGATCTGTCCTGCTGCCGCCGATACCGATGCTTTGCGGCAACGTGAGTCTCACGTGGTCGGAGCAGGGCGCGGCGCCCATGCCAATGCCAATGCCTCTGTGTGGATCTTGCTCCCTACGTGTCGTTGCGCATCCGAGCGTGGAAATACACAAGGCGAGGCTGGCGACGATACCTGGACGTGATGTGGTCGTGGTCGGCGTCGACGCTGGATGGAAGGGGAGTGCTTCGGTGGTCTTGCAGAACGCCAAGAACACGGCGGGGGCGGGGTGACTAATTCTACCTGAGAGCAGTCCACCTCAGCCTCGTTACCAGGCCACCTTCCCTCCCGGGTGCCGCCGACATCGACACTGTTCGCGACAGCCGCAGCCGCAGCCGTAAGCGCGAGCGAACACCATCGTCCCATCTCCATCTTCCCATTCCCTTCCACCCATGCGCCCAAGCCCAAGACTGCGACAGCCTCCTCTCCGCCACCACCTTCTCGCCGCCGCCGCCGCCGCCGCCGCCGCCTTCACGAACATGGCCGGAAAGTGCAGATGACCAGGGTTGAAGTGTTCGTGCGCTGGTTTGAGGAGCATTGCGACAAGAAGGACAGTGCAGTGCGGTGTGGTGCGCGCAAAAGTGAAAGGCGATTGGGAGCGCTGGCGTTGGCGCTTGCCGGGGTGTCTCGAGGCTCGCAGTCATGCCACGACCGAAAAGAAAGACCGGAGCCGAGCCTAAGAAGCGCAGTCGTACGGGCTGCTGGCCGTGCAAAGCGCGTAAAGTCAAATGCGGTGAAGAGAAGCCCGTCTGCGCGAACTGTGCCAAGAGCGGAGAGACGTGCGACTACAGCATCAGGCTGAACTGGGCCGGTCGGAGCAGACGAGACAAGGACAAGGACGGCGCGCCGACCGAAGCTGCAACCTTCACCTTCGTCGCCACTCCGACCTCAGCCGGGCCTGCGCCGGGCCCCGCGAAGAGCGATGCCTTCCCCCACCCCCACGACTACATCTTCTCTTCCCAGCACATCGCCATCGCCACCGCGTCTCAGAGGCCGCCTGGCAGCCATCCGGCAGCCTTCCCTACGCCGGAGCCAACACCTGCGAATGGAGGCTCCGTGCTCGATCCGCGCCTGGGGCTGGCGCAGCAGCGACCTCTCTCGCAAGACTATCAAGCCCCATACTACCCTTACGCCACCGCGTATCAGTCTCCCGCGTCTCCCGAACGTGAACATACCTCACCAGCCTCGGCTCCGCCCGCAGACGAGTTTCCGTGCTCGCCTCAGCATCGGACGAAGCGATTGAAGACGGCACATAGTCCGGTGTTCGCGGTGCCGCAGTATCCCCTGCACTCCGAACACTCACCTGGCTCGACCTTCACTTCGCATAGTACCAGTAGCATCGTCAACACTCCCGCCACTCCAGGCTCGAGTATCAATTCCGCTTCACCATACCCTGCACAGCCATCGTCCTTGAACGTTCAGGATCCGCCTGACCTTCGTAGACTGTCGGTCAAATCGCTTCTGTCCGACCCTTCCGAAGGGAATGAGCGGCCCAAGTTCAATCGAAACGAGAGTCATGTATACCGCACATATGGCTATGACCACGGCTTTCCCGATCTCGATATACCTCTCAACGATGATCAAAGTGTCGTCCAGCCAAAGTCTCCCGATCTGCGTCGTGCCAGCGCTGCTGTGTCGGAAGTGAGCACCTCCAGTGGCGAGTTCGATGCGAAACAGATTGCTTTCGAGCCTGGAGGCTACTATGCTCAGCCGGTTGCCATCAGGATTCCCAAATCCCTCGAGCCTCTCCCGGCCGAGCTTGTGAACAATCCGATGAATCTTCTCTACTTTCACCATTTCATCAATCATACCGGCCGCATCATGGTCCCTCACGATTGCACAGAAAATCCATTCCGTGGAGTCCTCCCTCAAATGGCCATGCGGAACCCTCACCTACTGCATCTCCTGCTCGCTTTCTCGGCATCCCACCGAGCCAAACTCCTCGACCATGCCGAGCCGGCGAACAGGATCGCAGGGTGGATGGCGGATGTACTGCCAGCCCTGCGACAATCCCTCAATGAACCGTCTTCGCCTGGCGTGACCGACCCTACTGATCCATCTTCCCTGGCTCCGCTGGCCACCGCAATCATGCTAGCATCCTTGGAGATCGTGACGCCCAACACATTCTCCGTTCGCATTCCTTGGCAGCAGCACCTCCAGATCGCGCGGCAAATGATCGTTGATAAGGGCGGACTGCATCACTTGGCACAGCAAGCCGATGGCGCCCGAGACAAGGCCATCTTCTTCTTGTCTCGATGGTTCGCATATATGGTAAGTCGCAGAAGCCGATTCGCGGCGCATGGCTTGCTTCTCTTGATCCCCTCAGGGACTGCCCTGCAACACGTCGGCTAATTTGTACAGGACGTACTGGGCTCACTGTCTAATCGTCACGAGCAACCGCTGTTCGGAGCATACCTCGAGGACGGGGGCGGCCTATGGCTCGTCAATCGCGATAATGTGGAGATCTACCAAATCGATTGCTTCTTCGGCTTTTCCGGTCGCTGCATAGCGCTGCTGGCCCAAGTCGCAGAATTGTCAGCATCTTGCGATAACCAGCGCATCGATCCAGTCACGAATCAGGTGAAGGCTGGATGGCGGCCGTCCGCAGAAGTCAGGCAGCAGGCCGAAGAACTCAAGAAACGCTTGCACGCGAGTGCGAACACCGTCTTTCGTGGTTGCATGCACACAGATACGAATCAACCTCAATCCGAGAACAACCAAGACAAAGACGCCGATGAAATTTACGCCACGAATGAAGCATACCACTGGGCTGGGCTAATACATCTTTCGCGACGTGTCCTTGCATTGCCATCTTCTGATCCAGAAGTTCAAAAACAAGTCCAGAATGTGCTTGAATCGCTCGAGAAAGTCAGACGAGGCAGCACCGCCGAGTCGTGTCTGCTGTTCCCGATGTTCACTGCGGGTTGCGAAGCTCTGCAAGAGGATCAGAGAATGCTGTTTATGGACCGAATGGAGGCTGTTGAAGGATGGGGCATGGCGCATGTCGGACGAGCCAGGCAGCTGATGCAGACAGTATGGGATACTGGAAAGCCATGGGAGACGCTAGTCGACGGAGAATTTTTCGGGTGAGAAAGAAATGCCAACACAGGACGAGCACACTCGTGCCCGCAACAGACTCTCGACAGTTCAGAGAGGTGACCGAGAGCATCAGGATACACATGACGATATGAAGGGATAACGGCCAGTATGTCTTTCCATGAAGATAATCGTTTCCTTCCACCCCCGAGCGAGTTGGACCGATGCAAGTATTCCAGCTTTAGAAGCTTCATCAAGGTCATGGTACAGGCTTCCAGCTTTGATCAATGCCGACCTCGTCCGCAGGAGCCTCAACAGCTTGTCTCACGCGTGCACATCGGCACGTTTGGCAGCCATGGCGCATTATAACACTCGTGCCCACAGTTGTCGATCATGGCTGCCAACTTCACCACAAGTGAATGTACCCCACGGCAGGATGACCTCTCACTCCAACACAAAGTTGATGCCGCAATCAACGAGGCGATATCCCGTGGCGACCCTGATCTAGCCGTGAACATGGCCCAGACACATGTCAACTCATTCGGCAACGCAGAGCTAAGATCTATGCTAAGTAATGCTCTCCACAGAGCAGATTGTGGAAACGATCGGCAGCAGTTGGAAACATACCAGTCAAAGCTTCGCAGAAGATATATGCCCAGTATCAAGCACAAAAAGGCCTACGTGAGGGATACCTACCAATATGCGGGATTTATGAGGCTCCTCGTGCGACTGAGACAGGACGGCAAAGCTAAGACCGAGCAAAGAGTTGCAGAAAGATTGGCCTTGGAGTTGCAGCGCGAATACAGCGACAACCTAGCTTCAGCGGCTGAGGGCAGAGTTGGGGGGCCACTCAAGGACACCGAGAGCAAAAACGACTCTCCAGGGACGCGTGTCAGTGAGGCCGTTGATGAGACTGCTCAGTGTTCAAGGCCGGCCATATGTTCGGAAGTTATCGAAGACGATCTCGTGTACTCTCCGCCACAAGTAATGACAGCCAAGCCAAGTGAGCACCACGCGAACTCAGCCAAAGCAGAAGTCATCGAGATGGCGAACCCTACAAGAAGTCATCCCATACCAAGCGTGGAGGTTCACACTCCGATTCGGCCTGGGCCTCAGAAATGCGAGATTCAGCCTCTCTGCTCCAACTTTGGAGAGAGGTGGTATTGCGATGTACACTCTATCACGCTATGCACCGCACGAGCACTAAAAAGACACAGGAGGGAAGAAGAAGAAGGGTGCGAGGTATCCGATGATGGCAGTGGTGGTGATGAAGTCGAGGTGGCTCGGGCCGGCCCACCGAAACCGACTCCTCGGATGATTGGCAAGGAGGAGCCCGAAGCTGTGATGATCGCGCCAAGGAAGGGTAGATATGACAGGCATGGTATCTTGATACCCAATACAGCAGAGGATAAGGAGCTCGTGAAAAGATTCTTGGCGGCCAAAAAAGAGAAGTGATCGCAAAGCTTCGAGGCTCTGTGGTGTTCGAAAGAGGAGGTGATGTGGAGGCAGCACTTGTTCGCGCAATCGAGTGCCTTCACCTCACCCGAGAGTCACTCTATCATGGCATTTCTGCTTGCCGGCCTCACGCACTATCTCTGCATGCCAGGTATCCTTCAAATACCAACCCAAATCTCCATCTTCCTCGAGATCCAGCTCCGTCGACTCATTCCCAAAGAATTCGAACGGATTTGCGCTTCTGTACTCAATGTCAAAGTTTTGAGGCCTGATCTGCTCCAGCATGCCCTTGAAGTGCAGCATATTGCCTGGATAGATTGCAGAATTCTCGTTCTATATTCATCACTCTCAGCCTATTTGTACCAGCGAGCGCAGTCCCCGTTCCAAGCCGTGCGACACTGAAGTTGTTGAATGTAGATGTTGTACGCCTCCACGACATCGTCGTCTCAGACGCAGATGGAATCAATGTCTTCATTGGCGATCTTTTCGCACCATCCGATGATTTAGTCGGCGCAGAAGGTCAGAGCTGTGAGGGAAGGGCCATTGACGATGGTGAAGTTTGGTCCAAAGCCGGCTGAGAAGTAGTCGGGAGGTAGCCATGTGCACGTTCGGAGAAGCGACCTGCAAGCTTAACGCCCTGACGCCCGGTCACGGTCCAGGGAGGTGCGCGACTGTTGACGTAGCCTGTTGCCGTTATTATGATGTCGTAGTCTGTCTCAATATCGTTCTTCGTGCAGAGGCTTATGGGGATGGTTCGGGAGATCGAGTCGATGATCAGCTGCGCGTTGGATTCCTGCAAGGTTTCAAGATATGAGTCTCCAGGAGTCAAGCGGCGACACTATGGTTGGTAAGTTGGCACAATTCTCGACCAGCTCAGGATCATGTTGAAAGCGGTTCTTCATCGTCTTCTCAAGGGGGTCTCGGAACTGCTTCTTGACATCGCAGAACTTGTAGGCCAGTGTGAGGCCTGCAAGCCCGGTGCCGATGCAGACAATTTTGAGCGGTCGAGGACAGCGAAGCGGTTGTGGATTCAAAGGAACCTCAAATGACGAATATGCCTGTGACGATGTAGCATCTAAGCCAGGCATGTTTCCGTCCTGTACTTGGAAGTGGCGCTGTCGATGTTCCACTGCGCCCTGAAGAAAGTAGCAATAAATAGAGTGCGAGTTGTTGCGCCTCATTCAGAGCGCCAAACATCAGTCATATTGCGGTCTTTGCGCTTCACTTCATGTCAGCGTAATAATCAGCGGCTCAAGCGGGCAGGATACGGAGTCTTTACGGAGCTACGATCAAGGAAAACTTTCGCGAAGCTGCTTTTGGGTATCTAGATGCTCAGGAAAAACTGTACAGCATCTGCGTCGCTTCCAACCCCATTACAGGTCTCCATGCAGGAATCTAGTCGTCGAATTTGATGCCCTTCGGAGTAAGGTCGATGGCTCCACCACGGTACGCGCCTGCAGAACAAGTCAGTCTCAGTCGCTAAGTGAGAGTTTCCCAGACATCGGATTGAAGCCAGATCCCGCACCAAAATGCCCAAGATCATCTTTGAAATCAAATTCATTGCCAGCGGTCTGGGATGGAGTGATCATCCTCGACTGGAGGTGAAGACAGAGCCCAGCTATACTCTTGGTCCAGACCAGTACGCCAATTGAGCGCCGGGATCTGACGCTAGCGGTTGGATGGTGCTTACCTCTCTTCTTCTTGTTCTTCTCCTTCGTGAAGCCCTTGCCCTTTGTGACCACCAAGTCCTGGTATGCTCGATCGGCGTAGTCGTTGGAGACGTATTCATTGCTGGCGAAGCGTGGGTCCACGTATTGGTCGGTAGGGATGCGGGAGAAAGGCACTTGCTTCTTCTTGCCGTCAACGATGGCGGTAGCAGTCTTCTGCTTGGGCATTCGTTTGAGCCGGTCTGGATGCATGCCGGAGTTCTCCTCACTCTCTCCTGGTGTCTCGCCGGCAGATTCAGTATCGAGTGTTGCTGACGACTGGCTACCGTCCTTCTTCGCTTCTTTTCGGCTGATCGCTACGAATGCCTTTCGGACAGATGCATCTGGCTTCTCCTCTTTAATCACTGGTTCTTTCCTAACCTTCTTCTCCTTCTTTGGAGATGATGATACCGGTTCGGAGTCGGAGTCGGAATCGGAGCTCGAAGACTCGCTGTCGGAGCTGCTCGAGGACTCGCTACCGCTGTCTGATGAAGAGATAACAGGGTGGACTTTCGTCCTCTTGGTGGGTCGAGCATCACCGTCGTCTGAGTCGCTCGTGGACTCATTCGAGCTGGAAGATGAACTGTCGTCGGAGGAAGGTGGAGTCGCCACACGCTTGCGTTTTGAGCCAGCTTTGGGTTCGCTGACAGAGGAGCTGTCGCTGTCTGAGTCGCTAGAGCCACTGCTGCTTTCCGAATCGCTCTTCTCATCCGCGTCGTCATCACTAGTTTCTTCCGCCTCCACATCCACAAGCACACCTTCTGTGGCGTCTCGCTCGGAGTCGTCCTCGCTCCCGCTTCCACTTTCGGAATCAGAGCTTGACGAGTCGCTGGAGTCGTCGGTAGCTCCTCCCGTGGTCGGCGGTGTTGTTGGTTGGTAGTAGTTCATGAGTGATTCAGCCCCATTAGATTCGCTGGGCCTCGGGACTCCATTCTTCGCTGCGTCCTTGTCGAGGCTGGCGACCGTCTTCGAGTAGCCCAAATCGCCCAAAAATTTCGAAATCTGGGCTAGAATTTTGGGGAGTTTCGGGGCAGGAGTGTGGTGTGGCCACAAGCCATCCGGTAGCTGTTGATCAGCCATGGCGCTGCTTTGGCTGGCGGAATGTGGTCTCCGTATGGTATGCGTCGATGTGCTGGTCGCCTTCACTTCACTTCGAGTCGAGAACTTCCGCGTCGATGTGGATATTTTGTGCGCATTGACCATTTTCGTGGGATCCGCGTCGGCATACCTTCCGTCTTCGGGCCAGGCGCGTCACTCACCTCTGCTCCTCCTGCTGTCCGCGATCATATCCTTGAAGAAACCGCTATATGCCACTTTCTACACCCATCAAGGATGGCGCGGCAGGAGGCATTGATCAAGGAGACTATTCGGGCCATGAAGCTCGCGATGAAGCGGAGGCCGAGCAACGACAGCGGCAGCGATACGGAAATCCAGCACCACACCAACCGCGGCAATAAGCTGAAACGAGGGGCATCTGCTGTCCAGCAAGACTCCTTAGACGATACAGGAGGTCTCTCATACAGGAGACAGGTCAACCACGCGGGCTACTCGCGCTACACCATTTCTACCAAGCCACCGCTGCTGGACGATGACGGCGATGTCTACTCGCCTACCGCATCCGACCATGAAGCGGAACGCTATGGCGAACCTGCTCGCAACGACCCTTTCGCAGAAGTGCAGCTGCACCAATTGTTGCGACCTTTGACGACGCCTGCCGAGCTCGAAAACCACCCCAGTCTGAGCATTCCGTACAAGAGCAAGGCACTCACACAGATGGCCGAGGAGTCGCTGGACATGCTACGACGAGAGCTTGCCAGTCTGTGGAAAGCCAAGCGATTGCTACAGCGACTGAGGGGGGATTCGGACTGGGTGAATTGCGAAACCTTTGAGACAGACTACGACCGCTCGCTCCTTCCCGATTCCGATCAAGCCAGCGTCGGCGACCAGAGCGCGGTGCCGAGCATTATTACTGACCAGCCCATGCTAGAGCTAGGACCCCCGCCAATTCATCCGCTGGAGAATGGCACCAGCGAGAGTGAAGGTGCCCTGGATCCCCAGAAGCAAGCACCTCTCGAGCACCAGGAGCAGGAGCAGGGCGAGGCAATGGAAGGCGTGGAAACCAACGATATGGCTGGGGAGGGAGAGGCAGTAGCGGTCTCAGGTCAAGAGCCCACCGACGACAATGGTATTGCGAATGAGCGAGAAACTCATGCAGATGTCCCCAAGGGCGAGGGCGATGGCGAGGGCGAAGGAGGTGATCCACCAGTACCCACCGAGGGAGCTCCTGATCGCTCTGCAGGAGAGAATGGAGATTTCGCACAGGCGCCCAACCCCGCCGTTACAGATCTCGCAGAACGAGAAGCGAACTCCGAAACGGCATCTCAATCGAACGGCGGCAGCACACACGCGATGATGACAAGAAGAAGGGCGCGCTCACCAGCCGAACGAAGCAATCGCACACCGTCCCCGTCACCCAGCGACTCCGCCTCCGTTCCCGCGGTGCATCCCTGGTTCGTTCCTCCGTCCTCAGCTCTCGCCGATCGCGACATTGGACTCCCCGCGCATGAAGCAGAGGAGACTCGCAAGCTGTTGTTTCAATACGTTCAGAAGCAAGAGCAGATCGTGCGCTCACTCGAATCATTGCATGCGGGATTACAGAAAGCGGACAGACTTCGCCATGACGTGTATCGCGGTTGCAAGGCGGAGGGGCATCTTGTGCCGGATGGCAAAGGCAATATGGTGACAGAGATGAGTGATGGGGAAGATTGGTACGATGTGGCAGACTGGGGAATGCAACCGTGGGAGGTCTTGGAGAAAGGAAAGGACGAGGTGGAGGATGTGGAAGAGGAAAGAGGCAGAAGACCAGGTCGTGGCAGGAGAGTGAACAGGATGTGAGTGAGAGATCATTATTGTCATCGCCGCTGCAGCTTCCCGTTCCTTGCCAACCTTGCTGACATGACCAGATGACGTGGGAAATTCACACGTCGACATCTCATGTCTTCGACGTCGACCACTTAATGTGAAATTGCAATGCCCAGCACAATTCCATTTGCGGAATTCCTGTTTCGGCGCCTGGTCCAGCTGAATTGCAGATCAGTCCATGGAGTTCCGGGAGACTTCGTGCTCCGCGCTCTTGGCGGCCTGAGCTCGAACACACGAATACAGCCAGGGGTGCCGCGATGGATAGGAAATGGGAACGAGTTCTGCGCCGGCTATGCAGCAGACGGCTACGCACGAGCGGCAGCTTTGGCCAGACGTAACCTCATTGCTGGGCCTAGGGTTGGAGCATTCTTCACCACATACGACGTGGGCGAACTGTCGGCCATTAATGCTGTCGCGGGAAGCTATGCAGAGAGCGTTGCGTTCCTGTTATCCACGTGGTAGGCACGCCTTCAAGAGTGCAGTGGTAAATTCACCGGGAGCATGCATACATAATACCTGAGGCGATGGACAACTCCATATATATGCAGACATGGCAAAACAAATTACACGCGCGCAAGCAGATCTCTCTTCTGATGACACTGACGAAGCGGCAGATCGGTACGACAGAGCGCTCGAGCAATGCGTACTACACAGCCAGCCGGTCTATGTCAATGTTCCCAGCGACATTGAGCACGACGATACCGATCAAGCGGCTTCACAGAACTCTCAAGGTCGACAAGACCAGATCTACCGCGCCAGGAGAAGCAGATCTCGTTCCAATTATTATTGCCAGGCTCAGAGCCGCCAAGCGCCCTCTGAACCGACGGACTCGCCTATCAATTCGACATGGCCACTGAAGTCAATGAACTTGTGAGACTGACAAGCATGCCTGCAACTTGTTCGCCGCTTGTAAAGGCCTCATTGATGAGTCTCACTCATCATGGACCACTCCGCGCAGCGGTCCCACAGAACCAAGCAAGTCGGCAGACTTTGTTCTGCTTTTTGGACCAATTTTGAGTGATACCAACACGGCTGCTTGGAGCGCAGTCCCGGATCCTGAAGTGACCATATCCCTCATCCTTGACAGCGTGAGCATTGGCGGGAGAGTCTACCGTGTACCAGGGAAAGCGCTCCTACAGAGCTTGATCAAAGGACTGAAGATCGAGCAGCCTACGAAATATTGTGTCCAGACGAGCAGAATCAACTGCATTTCATCACCCTCCCCATCATCCCTTATATCTCAAGACTCGTTCTGGTCCCGCATGTCCTCATGGCTCAGGTCCAACGATACTGTACTCCTTGCAAATGGCACCCCACTCCGGCGGTCGCGACATTTCACTTCCCGACAAAGTCCAAGTCATCGCGTCGGGCATCTGGTGCAGTATTGGGCATATGCTTCCTGCAGCTCAGGGTGTCGCTGCCGCCAAATGCGATCTTAACATTCCTGGACGCACGGTGTCATTTGAGGGAGATGGGAGTTTCCAGGTCACTTGCCAATTCATCTCAGACATCATTCGGTATAAGTTGGACGTCACAATCTTCATGAGCAACAATGCAGGCTATACATACGAGAGGCTTTTGCACGGCTTGGATGCGCAGCACAAAGATGTGCCAGAGTGGCGGTATACTGAGGCTGCAAACTTCATGGGCGGGAGAACTGATGATACTGATTATGCAATATTGGTCAAGGAGGGCGACGAGTTGGGCTGAGCTGGAAGAGATGTTGCAAGACGAGCAGATCAAAGGTTTGAAGATGATTGATTTGCTGCTGAGTCCTGAGGATGTATCCATTGCTGAAGACGCTTTGAGGGCAATGTGAAAGCTATACTGATGAGGAGTTCAAGGCTAACCTCCGAATTTTGTCAGACAATGAACGCGAACGGCTTTTTGGAGATTGTTTCTGAAAATCTGGACGAGATCTCCGACCCTGCTTTCAGGATCATGCCTACAGCAAAAACACTGTCGGAGCTGTACCTGACGCAAATGCGATTGAGGTCCGGATTTCAGAGCAACCTTGATAGCCATGAATGCGAGGTCGCACTTGGACTCATCTAGCCATACTTGCCGCTCAAGGCGGGCAGGGCATGAAGAGACGGCTCACCTCTCAGTCATACCCGTAACCAGGAATGCGATCATCTTCTATTTGCGACCATGAATCCTGTCCTTGTACAGATTTGCCAGTCACTCATGGTCTGGTGAAGACAATGAATCAGACACCCCACACGCTCCTCCATTCCCGTTCAACCCACGGGCGCCGTCCAAGGCGACACGCGGTCGTTTGATGCACTGATGACCATTGAAGCCATTGCACACTTGGTAGGCGCAAGTGAACATCGGATTCTTCGAGTCATGCCTCCAAATCATTCAACAGACTCATTTTGTGCGTCTCAGGAGCGTCGTGAAACGAAACCTTCGCTCTTGTATGCTAGAAATGGATGTAACGGTACGGGTTCGAGCACTTTCAGGTGGAATTGGGTTGGTCACCTAGCCTGTCGCTCCATAGTCACTCTGTATTAGCTTGTGCTGGTCCAAACTCCAGCTCCATAATGAGGCACTAGAAATGGAGGTGACGGTACTGGCTCGAGCAGTTTTAGGTGGAATTGGGTTGGTCACCTAGCCTGTCGCTCTATAGCCACTCTGTATTAGTTTGTGCTGGTCGAAACTCCAGCTCCATGATCAGGCGCTAGAAAAGGAATTCTTTGTACACACTGGTCCATTCCATTCAATTACTGACTACAGCGATTACAATACTGTACAGTTAAGATATAGCAGCCGCGAATCATGCAATTTAATCGCTGTCACTCGACTCCGAGCTCTCATCATCATCATCGTAAGGGCAAGCCAGTTTCATGAGCCTTGCACGCGCTTCCTCCGCTGTCTCCGGGACTGGCCGTGGCCGTGGAGGAGTTGGGTGGAAATTTGCGGCAAAATTCTTGATCCCGTCGTGCTCAGCCTCTTCCTGCTTGACCACCTTCGCTCCTGCATTTGCCTCCGGCTCGTGATCCACCGAAGCGGCACTCTGTTGGCTTGGCTCTGCAGAGTTTTTGGAAGCTTCCTTGACCTCCTCATCATCTTCCTCCTCCTTGAGAATCTTGCCCGGTCCATCCACAAAGTCCACGTCTTCTTCCGAAAGTCCTTCTGAGTCATCTTCATCGTCCTCCATCTCGTCCTCGCTAGTGTCCCACATGCTCATGCTGTTTGCCTTGCCTTCGTCTCCCGTGGAGTAGTCATCGTGTCGCACAACCTCTTCGTCGGCTGCTTCAGAATTGTTGGGTAGCTGTACGTGCCCGGCCAGTGGATTATGGCGGCTTGGGGTTGCTGCGCCAACGAATTCATTTCGCTCACGTTTCAATCGGTTTCGCTGAGCCTTGAGCCTCTCGATCTCGGGGTGATCCTCGCGCATCACGGCGTTGAGCATGGCCTCCCGGTTGAGGATCACGTTGAATAAGTGGCGTGCTTTGTCGGAATCGCCCTTGGCGCCTTCGTATGCTTCTGCCCAGCGCTCCTCGTCGGTGCGATCGCTGAACATGTCGCCTTTTCTCGGACGTGTTGGACTTGTCACAACGACGGCATTGCCCTCGGGTTGCGCTGTCGCATTGGCGGCGGCGAGCGGCAGCGCTTCAACAACTGGGGGCGGCGTCGAAGCCACGACATTGCTACTGGCTGGCGTGGCCGCGGGCGCACCACGGAGCGGCGAAGGAAAAGAGTGAAGATTGGGCTTCCGTTTCATGAGCACGGCCTTGCGGCCGCGCACTGCTCCCGCGGTGCGTAGGCCACCATCGAGCGACTGAGCGATCTTCGTGCTATTCCAACCTCTTCGCACACCATTTCGAATCACCTCGTCCTCTTCCGCAGTCCAATCTGGCTTCGATGCGTTCGACTTCGCCTGCACTGAGCTGACCACGCGCTTCCCTTTGACACGCTTGGCTTCGGCACCCATCTCCATCTCCGACTCTTCGTCGCGCTTCCGCTTCTTGGAGTTACTTCCGTTGCTTTTGGCCTCCTCCAGATACAGATACAGCTGGATTTTATCTCGCTCCCCTTCTCCCTCGAATAGATCGATCAGCTCGTCTGTGGGTAGGAAGTCTTCTCCGAGCGATCCCTTCAATGTCGTGCCAAAGACTAGGCCCTTGATGACATCGTCGCCGTATAACTGTCGGAAGCGTTGCTCGGTGGCGTGAATGAGGTCGGTGATGGTCACATTTCCTTTGCCGGGCACTGCGAGGGTGTGGACGGCGTCGGATGGCATTGAGCCGTTCGGGGCGGATGACAGCGGCGTCAAGGGCGTGGTGGCTGAGAAGACCGCGCTGGGCGGCACAGGCCGCATAACTTTGACTGCGAACCTCATACTGGTCGGTGAGATGAGATGAGATGTAGTGGAAAGATGTGACGCGTGGCGCGGTGAGGTGTAGACAGTAGGTGTAGATGGAAAAAGGAAGGGAAGGAAACGCTCAGCGGATTTATCATTCAGCCAACTTGGCAAGTCCGGGGTACAGCTGGTCAGAGCTTCCCCAACTGCTGCATCGCTCTTGCAGCGGATTGGCAGTACAAAAGCTAGATGCAGCGGAGACGTGATATCATACGCTGCTCGATCGAGGCCACATTCCGAGTGGCTGTCAAACGACCTACTGTGTGGTACATTGGTACGGAGAGCTAGAACACACTGCCACACGGACTTGCCCTCGGGATTGATCAGGCTATCGCACAGCTTCTCGCGAGCCGTCTTCCATCATCTCCTGCCTGACCTGACAGCCTGACAGGTCCAAGCGATGCTTTCACCTTACCGGACGGGGTGCCCGCATCCGGACCAATAATGCGAATGTGCCTGCACATTGATCATGGCTCGGCGTCGCCCATGTTGGGTGCTCGATCGTCATTCCTGTGATTCTTGCGGCGTTCGGAAATGGCTATTCTACTGCAGGCTTGGCGCTGAGGCGCCCCTTCCCGACCCACCGATTTTGGGCTTCGTACCTGCATTTTCCAAATAATCCTGCACGGAAACGAAATCTTCGAAAGCGCGCCGCCAGCACTCGACCACCTCGACGCCACCCACAGCGCGCCGCCTGGCAGTAACGTTATGGCAGAAACGAGTGCGCGACTCTATGTGGGCAATTTGCCTTACGTCGCCCAGAAAAGTGACGTGGAAAACTTCTTTTCGCAAAACAATGTCGCCATGTGTGTGGCATCGCATCGCTGAGACTCCCGAAAGTCCCGACTGATCATTTCGTAGAAAGAAGATTGACATCTCCACCGATCCTTTCACCGGACGCAATCCGAGCTACTGCTTTGTCGATTTCCACAGCGAGGAGGAAGCCGCCCACGCGATGGAAAACCTCCAAGGCCAAGAAATCCGAGGCCGCCCGGTTCGCATCAACCCCAAGACGGAAAGGAGCTCTTTCAAGGAGCGTCTCCCGACCAAGGTCTGGGATCGCAACTGGACGCGGAGGGAGGTGCCTTCGAGAGATGTAGATGATGCCTCGTATGCTTATGATCGTTGGAATCGGGACGACGCTCACACTCATTGGAGCGCGCCAGAAAACGAGAAGCGACGAATCTGGGTGGGAGGCCTACCAAGGATTCCCAATCAGGATTCCCTCAATGCTGAGATGCGCGAATTGTTCCAGGGGTACAATGTCCAGGCAGTCAGCAAACTCATCTCTCCACACGCCTCCAAAGAATCTATCCCAGGATCGCACCACTTTTGCTTCGTCGACATGTCGAATGCGCTGGAGACCCAGGAGGCCATAGAAGCTCTCAACGGCAAGGAAAATCCCTACGGTGCCAAATACATCGTCCGTCTGTCGCAGCGCCGAGCACCCAACCAGACAACCAAGGTTGAAAGAGAGCAGCTCAACGATACCTCGCGCATCTTCGTGGGTCAACTGCCTCATTATGAGGATCAGGCGGCTCTGGAGAGTGACGTCCGACAATTGCTATCCGGCTACGAAATTCGCAGCATTACCAAGCTCTTTACACCTTCCGCAGCCAAAGTGGAACAGGGGGGTGACCAGCATTTCTGTTTTGTGGATTTGATGTCTCCACACGACGCTCAGAATGCAATTGACACACTTGACAATCAACCGACGCCTTCGGGGGGTGCATATAAGATTCGCATGGCACGCCCGCCACCGCCAAGCGCTGGGAGCGGCGCGAGACGAGAGCAGGGCGGTGGTAATGGTGGACGCTTCGAACAGAGAAAGCCGCAAGGTCCGCCGAGGGACTTCGGAGGCAGCTGGAGACGTGCAGAGTGAACACATGTGCGGTATGAGGAAAGCACCTGCAGCCCAGTCATGACGGGAGCCTTCCACCCTGCCATTCCACACAATAGACGCTCTTTCCTGCTCAAATCCATCTCGCAAAGACAACTCTGCGGCTGAGAGATGCCCAGGCTTTCAAGCTCACGCTCAATGCATGGTAATCCGTCCAGCGCACGCCCACGGCGGGATTGGAGCAGCAGCAATGTATGCATTCAGCGCTGAACTATCTGCCATCGTCAGGGTCTGTTGGCGATGAAAGACACGAATGACTCAATCATCTCGGACCCAAATCCCTGCGTCCGATAGCTAATTTGGCGTATCACGGCTCGAAGAACTCTCGTTTTCGGAGCATTTCGATGCTCTCGCGCTCTCCGTGCTTGGCTTTTAGCTCCGCAATCACGCTTTTCCTACCCTATCTTCCTCTCCCTCTCCATCCTCGCCCTCATCTCATCGCCCATCACCTTCCTCTTCATCGCCTCGGGCATACAATCACCTATCCAGACCTGCAACATGTGCTTCCAGTGGGGTACCACCAACGTCCTCCCACACCCAATGCGATCGAGACAAGCTTTCGCGCATTCTCTGCTGGTCACCGTCAAGAAAGGAATCTTTTCCTTGTTAGTATTCGAATCAGTATTGCCAATCACAAAGCCCATGGTTTCTACATTATTCACCTTCTCGGCCAGCAATTCTGTCTTCAGCGCCTCTGTAAATGTGTGAACGAAGGCTTTGGATGCTGTGTAGGTTGCTAAATAAGGTACTCCAAGAAGACCGCCGGTGGAGCCACAATTGAGACTTATACCGAGGTGACTGTGGCGAAGTAGCGGGAAAAGAGCTTTGGTCAGATGAGCGGCGAAACGCATATTCATGTTCATCGTCGCATCGATATCGGTGTGCGGCAGGCTCCAGTGTGGTGCAAATTGTGGTGTCAGGGTTTGACCGCCGATGTTGTTGATCAGGACTGTGAGCTTTCCAGGGAGGCTTTCAGCTCTTCGCGCTACCAGAAGGTACGAGCCATCCGACCGGGAGGAGTCTGATACGACATATTGAATCTGGCGGTGAGGATATTGAGACTGTAGGTCCTTGGAACATGAAAGAAGTTTCATTCCATTTCGGCCGTGCAAGAGAACGTTGAAGCCACGGGAGAGGAGTTCTTGTGCGAAGCCGTAGCCTATGCCGTCCGAGGACCCGGTGACCTGAACACTATTAGCAGAGCCTGTCGGAAGATCAGTAATGCCTACTAATGCCCAGCAGGCTTCGCCTTCACGATGATAGTCTTGAAGCTTTGATGATCTGATCAGCAACCTTGTCACAACAACATCGACGAGCGTGAAGATCCAGCGGACAATCGCAACAAGACCGAGCCATTTGGCGACGAATAAGACAAACTTCATCCAAGCCTCAAAACTTTCCGTCATGGTGAAGGATGAGATTGCAGAGGTAACTTTGTGTCGAGGCTTTGTATGCCAGAGATCCTCGGCCCATTTCTCAGGCGTTCTTTGGCTCTTGCCCGGCTGTCGACAAAGATCGCCCTCTAGATTTGAGGCGACTGGGGTCATGGAGTGCTTCTAAAAAGGCAGAGATCGGACACCATCAGCGCTAAAGAATATCTCCATCTGTACAGTCAGTCATCTATACATTCATTACATTACATAAATCAAAATCGAAAGGAGCCCGTCTCAGATGGCAAAGCACACCGCCAGCTGCACGCTCTCCTGGAAAATGGAAGCACTGCTTCTTGACTGAGTTCCGGCTGAGATGGAAAGCCGCTGAACCAGTACTCCACCCATTCGGCCCTGGCAGCCACAAATGTTCGGCTGCACGTCGAACACTGCTGATTACCCAATTCCAAGCTTGTTGCTGCTTGCTGCAAGGCTGTTCTCACACGGACAGGTAATTCTGCCGGAATATCGTCGAGACTGAAGTTGGCCTGAGTGGCCCGAGTGGCGAGCTCGAAAAGCGATGGCACGGCATTCAGCTGGCGGGAACGATCATGCAAGTCGGACGCGGTAGCAGTGCAATCGACAGCGGCATCTCGTCTGCTGGCTGGACTGCCATCGATGTCAAGATATCGCACAGCTGAGGAAACCAGATATATGAGCTCTTCGCGGCAGACGACGGGCTCGGCTCCAGCTTGTGCAGACTCCTGGATGTACTGGTTTCTAAGCATGCGACCTAGCTTCAGCCGAATCTCCAACTCAGTCCGCAGGTCCAATGCTCCATTTTCCGAGCCGATGCTTCTGAGACGTTCGCAGTAGGCTCTCGTGTCTCCATGTCGGCTCAACTCTTCTTTTGCAATCGGTACCATGTGAAGCTTGGCCAGACCTGATGACCCTGAAATCTCAGTAGGCTCGAGCAGAGGGTTGGGCCGTATGTTTACTGTGGTGTGGCCATCACGACAGCAGATCAGATCAAGGAGCTCCCAAGGTAGACACTGTATTCGATTACCAGAGATGTTTAGTTCTTTGAGCTTCTTCAACCGGGCGATGCCAGGTGGGATCTCCGTGAGCTCATTGCTTCGAAGGCTGAGCACAGTCAGGTTCTCCAGACTGAACAACTCGGGCGGAAGAGAAGTGAGGGAATTCTTGGCCAGAAAGAGCTTGATGGAAGGTGTCAACGGAGCGAATTCTGTCTCGGATGGAGGGTGGCTTAAGTCGATGTGAGAGTGCCGAATGAGCTGATGCAGCGGTCTGAGGGTGGCAGAAGACAATTCGGTCAAGCCGATATCAGAAAGATCTACGGCCTCTTTGCCATCTTCCACGCAATGGTCGATGATGGACCGCGCCAAGGCCTCAGCGGTCAGCGGCGCTCTTTCGATGGCCGCATGGTTCGGGAGGCGTATCTTGCTGCCCTCAGCAACCGTACTGTCTACACTCTCCTCGCTGCCGTCACTCCCCATCCATACACCACTGTCGACATTCCTAACCGAATCCCTCTTCGCCATGCCCTCTCTCAAGCTGTGCTTACTGCCCAAATTATACCACGGCCCTTTGAACATGCGCTTTCGCTTTGGCCTCTCATAGCCAGTGACATCCTCAGCACCCGACGTGTCATCGGAGAACAGCGGATCGCTGCTGTTGTCGTACTCAGATAGTCCTCTTTTTCGATTACGATCCAATACGGGGAGGAATGCCGGAGAGGAAGGAGGCTCAGTTGGGAATAATGGCGGCGAGGAGGTCAGCGGCAAAGCCATGTTGAGCGAGGTATGCTCCTACTCCTCGCCTGGGATGGATGGAGGCAGCCTTGAAGTGTAGAGAGGAGTACGTATAATTCAACTCAATGATGTTGTCGGCCGTCCACATCGACCCACGCGACGACCACGCGCCGCCCACGCGCCGCCCACGCCAAGCGCCACCAACGGGCGTCTCCGCTGACCTCTTGCTCTTGTCCACCACCGCGGCTGCAGCGAGGACTCCGGCGCTGGGAAAGAGGCCGGCGGATGTGGCCGGTTGTGATGGCGACGGCGACGGCGACGGCGATATAGATGGTCCGACAAAGCCAGAGACGCCTCCAACGCCATTGTCGCCATCATGGTCGCTGACACGCGCAGACACACCAGCCCTTTCTATCCTCCTTTTGCACTACAATGCCTAGGAAGTATACTGCGTGCTACGCGGCCATAACCCTGGCTTCTACTTTGACTGGTACGGTCCGAATGGTGCCGAGAAGCAGGTCTCTGGATTCCGTGGCAATCTCTTCGTCTCCTTTCCCAGGTAAGCTCTCTGGCAAAATCTCCTAGCCTACTTCTTTGATTTATTCAAATTCATTTCAGGACCAGGAAGGGATCCATACAGTCCAGCGGTGCCGAATCTGCCATCCGAGAAGCCGTGAATTACATGTATGTGAACCATAGCGCAGCTGGTTGTACCTGGGGCTGTGGGGGCAAGTGTTACGGGCAAGGTACAACCTTCCATACCTATGCTGGTTGGTCTATCAAGCTTGCTCAGGGCTCACTGGAGGCTGTTCGCGAAGTCGCCCACCAAAAGCAAGTATGGAAACGCTTCTCGGATACAGACGTCTTGATCATCGACGAAACCAGCATGGTAGAAGCGAATATGTTAACACGACTGTCGGCAATGATGGACGAGGCATTATCAACACCTGATAACCCAATCCCTTTTGGTGGCGTTCAAGTACTCATTGCCGGTGATTTCCTGCAATTACCACCTGGCCAGGCGTACGTTGCACTTTCAGGGGCGAAGTCGTTGACAGGGATGACGGTGCAGACCATGCCACCACCATCAAGGCTGAAGCCGGACAAGACAGTTGAGGCATTCATGGAGAGGACATTTGAGGTACATTTTTGTCGAGGCTGTGAAGGCTGAGCCCAGCAGCAGCTCGTCGAACACCGAACCCTTCGGCGAACGTCTCGGGACACTTGTGGCTGACGCCGATCTTTGCCAGACGCAGACTCATGATTCCATACTATGAATGCACTGCTCTCAATCAAGTTGCGCACACTGTCAGTCGCGATAGCTTTGGAATCTACACAATCTTCCGGTCCAGCGCTGGCTGTTGTGGAACCTTTTGATCGTCCAATGTCCACTGATCGATGTCCAGGCCAACCCGCATCCGCTTACGCCATACCATTGTGTGTGTCAAGGATTGAGTTATGCGCGACCATACGGTGAAGCTGATGCCGGTCTTCGAACATCCCCGGGCAAGACCGCTATATAGGTTGGCAGGACAGCTTCAGGAGCTTCAGGCCTTTTTTCTTTCATTGCATCCAGCATACACACACATCTAAACATCATTCGTCGAGCCTGATCAAATCGCCACCCTGATCCAACGAGTAACAGCGATGATGGACGAGCACGGGAATGGTGCTTCGAAGGAGCGACGAGATACAGAGCAAGGCATTCCACAGCAGCATGACCAAGGCAAGGTTATGTTGGCGAGCGCTGTCCTGTCGCACTCGCTGGCACCTGAAGATCCCGTCAATCCCCAGAACTGGCCTTTCGATCGACGCATTTTGACTTCATTTCAAGCCTGGGCATGCGCTTTCTCAGTGTGCGTTCCAACTCTGCGACTAATAGCTTCCTTGGGCTAACGTGTATTCACTGCCAGCGCTATAGGTCTTACTACCTGCACGGCCGCCAAAGTCCCTTTCGCTAGGCATTTCGACCTCAACCCGATGATACCCGAGGACTTCATTGCCGGCTTCTCGCTGTACTTGTTTGGAATCGCCTTTGCACCGATTTGGGTCCCGCACGTCACGGAGAGAGTAGGCAGATCCATCTCCTACCCAACCTATCTCTTCCTGAACGCGATCTTCAATCTTGGCGGAGGGCTGTCCCGAACAGTCACAGGGTCTCGTCTGCCGCTTCTTTGCGGGATTCTTTGGCGGACCATGTTTGGTGTTGCTAGAAGGCACATTCGCAGATATCTGGAGTGCGGAGACGACGAACACCTACTATGCTGTGCAAGGTCTGGCCAGCTTTGGGGTGCTGCGTTCGGTAAGCCTGTCTCTGCTCTAGCATTGTCGCTATGCTGATACTTTTCAGGTCCCTTCTTTGGAGGCTACCTTGTGAATGCCACAAATGACTGGCGCTGGACGCAATACTTTCCCGTCTGTCTCGCTGCAGCAGTGTTGGTGCTAGCTCTTGGCATGTCGGAAAGCTATCAGCGCGAGATCCCTCGTCGATCTTAGAAGCAAACTCGAGCAGCAGTTGTTGCGAGCCAGTCTCCTGCAGAATCAGGCGTGACTTTGCCAAAGATGGCCAAAGTGACGATCCTTCAGCCATTCACAATGTTGTTCACTGAGCCTGTCGTCACATTGTGTACCACTATCATGTTTATTACCTGGCTCTTGACTTTCCAATGGTTCATCTCGGTACCTGCTGCATTGGCACCTGTGCCGCCCACGGGGCCCGGCTTCTCTATTGTACGAATCGGCAAAGCATTCCTGGGCGCGGTCTGTGGATCGGGACTGGGAGCGATCTCAGTCATCGCGATTGAGCAGCTGTCCAATGCACATGTCCGGAGATACCTGCCCGAGGAGCTCCGGAACAGTGCACGAGCAATCGACTACCGCGTGTTGCCTGCAATTCCTGGAACAATGTTCATCAACGGCGCTTTGTTCTGGGTTGGTAAGAATCATCCATCAAGTCCCCTCGTTGACACACAGCTGACGTATGCCTGCAGCCAACACCGTCAATCCAAATCATCAACCCATCGTGCCGATTACTGGCACAGCCTTCTTCATTTGGGGCTCGTCAATGATCACTTTCTCGATTGTGCCTTACACTTTCGATCTTTTCGCACCGGCTGGGACCCTAAGCGCGATTACGTCTCAGGCTGTTGGGCGTATTCTGGCTGGAGCGTTCCTACCTTTAGTGATGTTGCAAGACATCACGAGCGATCTGATGCCGAAATGGGGTCTGGGACTATTTGGATTCATTACGTTGGTGCTGTGGCCTCTGCCAATATTGCTCTTCCTATTTGGGTCCAGATGGAGAGAGAACAGCAAGTACCGGATGGGCTGAGCTGAGCTGGTAGATTTGACGATGTGACACGGTGATTGAGCAGGAAGTGGTCGGCGCGCTATCCTTCACTGAGGCTTCACTAAGCGATCGACGCATACATGATAATGACCAAGGATGGAGAAGGCACTGGAGACGGTACCTTGAGGAAGCATTTAAGATACAAAAGAGCTTGAGTCATATCGTCTCTCACGTGAATGTGATCTTCTTGGTCGTGAGATTCTTTACCATGTCGTCAAATTCTTCGCGCTTGCGTTTTCTCTCGGCGGCAGATGCGTCTGCTTCAACATCGTCGGAGTCATCACGCTCAGCCAGAATATCCTCGCGGGTATGCGGCTTCCAACAGCGGATCGTTCCATCGCAATGTGCGGAATAGAGCTCCACTTGATGCGCTCGCCAGGCTAAAGAGGTGGCTCGTGTTTTGGGGTTCTTGGTGCTTGCATCGTTCTGAGAGCCAGGTAAACCTCGAACACGGAGTCGACTTTCCATGGTTCCCGTGTGCAGATCAAAAGTGAGGATTTCTTTCGGATTGGGATAGAAAACCACTTCATTGCCCGCGGCTGACAAATAACTTGGGGCAATGAGAGGATTCCAAGCTGTGATGGTAGAGTTCTTCAGACCAGGGCCAAAGTTGACAAGAGTATTTGCGCCTGTGCACATATCCCAGACCCGCATCCTCTCATCTTGGCCATTCGAGAGAAGATACTTTCCATCCTCAGTCCAACTCAGACCATTGACAGCACCATAGTGGGACCTGCCTTTCTCTCGTCGACGCGCGCCCGTGCCTCTACCATCGTAGCCTGGTACACCGATGCTGTCTTCCATATCGAGCACTCCGAGACTGCTAGCACTGCGGCGAACGTCCCACAGCCGAACCACTCCGTCAGTCGCGCCAGAAGCAAGTATATGTTCATCGCGCGGATGCCAAGCTACAGAGAGCGTTGAGCCGGCGTGACCAGACAGAGAGTGCGTTGCCGAGCCGGATTTGAGATCGATCAAGCGGACTGCTGGATGCTGCGAGGCGCAGGCAACGAGCAGGTGTGAAGCAATGTCGGACGTCGCATGGCTGTACACGACGGAACCGAGATCAAATGATGCTGATGCTTCGAGAGTCTCGGACGAGAAGAGTTTGAGAGTTGCATCGTATCCGCTCGTCAGTAAAGCCAGGGAGTCAAACGGGTAGAATGAAACGTGCGTAATGCCAAGGCTCAGACGAGTCGATGTACGAGGTGATACGGCCAAAGGCACATGTGTCAGAGGATCCGCTTCCCTTGCTGCTTCGACGTCCCAGGTGGCGAGTGAAGAGTCTGCTCCACCAGAAATCAGGTATCGCCCTTCAAAGCGATCGATGGCGATGCTAGCGACGCCGGCAGCATGGGCGAGATCTTTGGTCCCGAGGTGCTCATTAGTCGCTCGGCTATCGGGTGCTTCAAGGACGAATCGGTCGAGGGCTGGCTGTAGATGTGCCAGCAGCCGAGCGTTCTGTGCTTGAGCGAGTGATCGTGGACTGATGGCGCCGAGCTGTCGGTTCAGCAGGAACGAATTCATGGGCATGGGCCTGCGATGACCTTTCCGACGTCCAGCGGATTCTCCCAGGCATCCATATCCATCTCCAGTCAGTCAGTCAGTCAGTCAGTCAGGAGCTTCGCGGACTATTCAGCTTCGCTCGGTGAGGTGAGCGCACGAGACGGCGCTGTGTCGGCGTGAATGACTGGAAGAAGGAAGAATCGACGGATTAGAAATAGAATACCTTGGCACGTGGAGGCGGTAATTGCCGCCGCACACAACCATCCCTCGGGCCGCCATCTTGCTTCGAGGCACACGCATACATAGTAAGTCATCAGCCTCTGGCATCCTTCAAGATTCCAACTTTCACGTTCATCTCATGTCCAGATGAGCATGCATGATGCATCTTCGAAGCTCTCGGTGCTAAGATGTTGCGTGCCGGCTAAATCTCTCTTTTATTAGCCGGAGGGAGGCTCAAGGTGCATCCATCAATCAGCGCCAGGACGCTTGGGACGTACCACTACTGCATGAAGATCTGGAGACGCGGGTTAGGTCCTTCTTCGTGTATCCATCTGCCAGACTTGCAGTAGCTTTTCTGAAAGACTAAAAAGGGATATACCGAATCGAAGCAGACGAATCAATTTATATCCCGGCTTCAGTCGTGCGCTGCCCAGAACTTGCGAACCAAGCCTTCGGCTGGCGTGGCGCACCCGTGTGCATTGCCCATGTACTGGCTGTGGTAGTTATCGCGGTGTGCTTGCCGGCTATTTTGGATCAATGTGCCAGCAAAGCACGAGTGCTCATATAGCCTTGTCCCATGAGCTTAATAACTTGAATCCAGCAACAAGGACCGGCTTGTTCTCCACCGACCAGGAAGGGACCCGTTCCTTCAACTTCACAACATCGTCGTTGCAAGTCTCTTTCTCGACAACGCACCTTCATCGCCATCATGGATCGTCCAACAAAAGGCACCTTTCGCCTGGCGGAACGTGAGTTCCCCAAGCTGACCTGGTACAAGGATCCTGGTCTGCGAAGAAACTACATCTGCTTGATGTTCGTAGTCTTGACATCAGCCACGAATGGGTTTGATGGCAGCATGGTCAATGGCCTGCAGTCTCTCGAGGTCTGGCAAGAGTGTAAGTCGAGTGTACGCTGCCATCATTGTACAAGCGCTGACGAATTTGAAAGACTTCGATCATCCGCACGGCTCACTGCTTGGATTATTCGCCTGCATTATGTCCGTTGGCTCGCTCGCTGCACTTCCCGTTGTCCCATACATTGCCGATATATTGGGACGAAGATGGGGTATCATCATTGGCTGCTTGATCATGCTTCTTGGTGTTGTCCTGCAAAGTATCAGCATCAACTTTCGAAGTCAGTGTCCCCGAACGTGGCTGCAGTGAGAAGCACACTGACATGGGCCAACAGTGTTCATTGCGGCAAGATTTTTCCTCGGCTTTGGTGTCGCCATTGCTCATGGAGCCTCGCCGCTCCTCATCACGGAACTCGTGCATCCGCAGCATCGAGCCATTTTCACCACCATCTACAACACCACTTGGTACGCAGGCTCGATCGTTGCAGCTTGGTCTACGTTCGGCACATGGCACATCCACAACAACTGGTCTTGGCGTATTCCGTCGATCCTCCAGGGTGCGCCCTCTGTCCTCCAGCTTTTGTTCGTGTGGTTCGTGCCAGAATCCCCCCGATTTCTCATCTCCAAAGGCAAGGTTGAGCAAGCCCACCAGGTTCTGGCCAACGTCCATGCGAATGGCAACCCTCAGGACGAGGTCGTGCTCCTCGAGATGCAAGAAATCAAGGACACCATTGAGCTCGAGAAGTCTCTCGAAGGGAACAGCTGGATGCAATTCATCAAGACGAAAGGCAACCGCCGCAGACTCCTGATCTTGCTTTCCCTCGGTCTGTTCTCTCAATGGTCCGGCAATGGTCTGGCATCGTACTATCTCAACCTCGTCTTGAATCAAATCGGAATCACGGACGGCGACATCCAGCTTGTCATCAACGGCTGCTTGCAAATCATGAACTTCATCGTCGCAGTTGGCCAATGCTTTGTCGTGGATCGCGTCGGACGCCGCACCTTGTTTCTCGTCTCCACGGCTGGTATGCTTTGCGCATTCATCATCTGGACTGCGTGCGCCGGTGAATTCGCGAAGACTGGCGTCCAGGCTCAAGGTAATGCTGTCATAGCCATGATCTATGTTTACTACCTCTTCTACAACCTGGCATGGAGCGGAATGCTGATCGGCTACGGAGCTGAAATCCTGCCGTACAACCTACGTGCGAAGGGCCTGACCTTGATGTTCCTGATGGTCGACGTTGCTCTTTTTTTCAACCAATATGTGAACCCGATCGCTTTGGACGCCCTGGCGTGGAAGTACTACATCGTGTACTGCGTGTGGCTGGCCTTCGAGCTTCTCGTGGTCTGTGAGTGTTTGGGAGCATGCGTTACTCGGAAATGCGCCGTAGCTGACAGAAACCGCAGACTTCTTCTACATCGAGACCCGGTACACGCCGCTGGAAGAAATTGCAAAGCATTTCGATGGCGCGGAGGCAGTTGTCGGCGGGGCTGCCGCGAGCGAGAAAGTGCGTGTCATCGCGGCCGAAGAGGCTGCGTACGGCAAGACCCCGTACGCGGTGGAGCATAAGGAGCTGTAACGAGGAAGCGTTTATCCTCTTGCTACGGGGCTGTACATAACGGGAGACATTGGACATTCTGGATGAGCCATCGTGCGGCATGGCTTGGCTTTCGCTGCTCTTTGATAATTGCCGAAAGACTGGCCGACTGCTTTCTCTCTTCGTGTCAGATAGCTGGTCGTGACTTCCACTCACTAGATCGCTCTTGCCTCAGTAGTGCAGGTCGAGGCAGCCACTGCGCACTTCCAAATCTCACGATCACTTCACTTCGCATTCATCTCAGCACAAAGCATTCTGACTTCGCTGGCGGCGCACCAGTCTCCCGAGAAATTCACTGCTGGAATCATGGTTTGGATTCCCGTTTGCATCATCAGCACGATGCCCATTGCTGACCATCTCAGGCGCCAAAGACACAGTGCAACGCGCTGAAGCTCGCGCAGATCGTCACCTGGATGCAAAGGTCGCGCTCGGTCTTCAGTCTCAAAGACCTCGAGAAAGAGCTTCCCAAAGTCGCCGGAGTCAGCAGCATTCAGGTCAAAGGTGAGCAAGCATTTGTATGATCCAACACGCTCGATGGGGCTGACAGCAACACCCAGACTATATCCAAGCACTTCAAGATGACAGCAAAATCAGCTGCGAGAAGATCGGATCTGGAAACTGGTTCTTCAGTTTTCCCTCCCAGGCCAGACGTGAGGCCGACAGCAGCCTCAAGAAGGTGCGTGGCGACCACGAGCAGATCAGCGGCATTGTGAAAGATCTGCACCACAAGCTCGCCGAGAGAGCTGCACAGCTGGAGCGGGAGGAGACGATGACGGATGCCGGTCAGGACAGCCGGGCAGAGCTGATGCACGAGAAGGTCGTCCTCGAAGCGGACCTGCAAACACTCCGCAAACAACTTGCCGCATACAGCGAAGACGATCCTACCGAGATGCAGCGACGGGAGACGGAGTGCACGAAGCTTTTCCATGATGCAGATCAATACACGGACCAGATCGTGTCGATGGAGGAGTGGCTCGAGAAGAACTACGGCAGAGAAGCGGTGTCTGCGTCCCGCTTTGAGTATGGCGAGGAATGGGACAGCGAAGAGTTTGAGATGACGCCACTAAGCGATCCGAATGGGCTGGAAGGCGCATCTGTGTGAGGGAGTCTGTATAATGTGGCCTGAAGATGTGTGGTGCCGGCTCGGAGGTTCTGTTTGACCAGAAAATTCTCGTTTGCTGAGATCCCTGCTCGCAAGGACAAACGCGTGCTGTCGCGTGACTCGCGTCTAACTGAGACCTGCCCTGCCTGCCCTTGTTCATATAACACGCTGCTGTTGCCTGAACCTTGGTCCCGCTTCAAGCACACCCATCCCGAACTTCCTCTTTGCAATCTGCTTCCACTTCGTTCGTCCGTCCAAATTGCTTACGATGTCAGATTCCACCGCAGGCTCCATCAATGCTGAAGAGCTCCAGCAAAAGTGCGCAAGATGTTCAAAGACTGGTGGGCCACTCAAGAAGTGCGCCAAATGCAGATCGATCCTTTACTGTGACAGAGAGTGCCAGACACTTCACTGGAAGATGCACAAAAAGGAGTGCAGTCGCCTGGCCAGTAGCAACACTGCAGCAACTCGTACGGCTGGTGGCAGCAAGAACACCGCTGGCGGATTCACCAGCATTGCAAACAACACCTTCCTAAACAACCGGCCAGAGAAGGAAGTCTACAAGCTCCTCGTGGACATCGTGCGTATGCGTCAGGAAGACACCTACACCTTTGAGGGAGACACCATGTCTGGCACCATCTACAACGGAGAGTCATCCTCCGAGCCAGCCTTCCGCGACATGATCCGTCGAGCGAAGAACAAGGCTGGATTTTTGCCACCATGGTGGACTGACTCGAAGCTGGAGGAGTGCGTTCGACTGAACAAGCAGGCGCTGCAGTGCGCCCAAGAGAAGTCAGACATCCAGGAGAGCTGGGGTGACAACACGATGCCAATGAAGTTGCGAATGCTGGGAGAGAAGATCTATGGCAATACTCCAGGAACGATGCCAGGGCAGGGAGACAGAATGCTGGAACTGCAAATGATGCTCGAGAGAGGCGGTTCTGGAATGATGTCGAGCCACCTCGAGTTGCGCTGAGAGTCGATTCTTGGTAATCGGAGGAGGAGGTGAGCGAGTGCATCTTCCATGGGTGTGTGACCGACCAGTTCCAGTTGCGATAGGAGACCGCTCGACGAGGTGTGCATCGTCTTCCTTCACCCATGTACCTAGAGCGATGCTAAAGTGGAGGCTCTTGTCTCCGAGACCTATTCGAGCCTTGTGCAGACTCTGCCATGAAATAACGGCATGATCACACACGTGATATTCCTTTCAATCCTTCTCTGTTTGCGTGCCTACATCTGCATTTCCGTGCTTCGGTTTCTCGTTCTCCAACATAAGAAGCGTGCCAGCGAACGCTACTCCTATACTTGTCACGGCCATCAATCCTGCTCCTGCAATGTTTGGCCTAAACATTCCCCGACCTAGACTCTTCAATGTTCCGAAATAGCGTTGTGTGCCGTGTGCTACCGTCAGACTCCCGACTGCTACTAATGTGCCGGCTGCGAGCTTCGTCCGACTGTTCTCTAGGTGGAGCAGAGTTGGCGATATGGCTGCGAATGCTTCCACTTTTTCCAGGGCAACTCCCAAAGCTATAAATCCCAAGCCAGTCCGAATCCATGCTAAGAACGTGCGCTCAGCGGCAAGTAGATCACGGGCTACAGAACCGCTGTTCTTGATCTCCGCGCTGTTCTTGATCTCCGCTGGACGGATGAAGGCGATCCTACCGAGCATTTCACTGATATTTGCGCAGCTTCGCGGAGCGAGCGGCGTTTGCCTGCGGATGTCGGGTTCGAGTTCGGGTTCGGGTGTAAGTGGACTGGCACTGACAGCACAGCACTGGCTTTAATACAACGAACGACTCGGGAACGACCATCACATGCTTTTTGGCCTTGGACTGCGGCCTATTGTAGGTGAATGCTCTACAGCTCATACACGGCTGGTGAAGATCCGATTGCTGTCTACCATGGCCAATCAACGCGCCAATGACTTCATCTCGTTCCTCAATGCGAGTCCGTCGCCTTTCTTCGCTGTACGCAGCTCGATCGAACGTCTCGAGAAGGCAGGATTTAAGCCAATAAAAGTAAAATAAAGGGCCATCAAGGTCATCAACTCTTCCGAACAAGCCACTAATCCATGTTGCAGGAACGAGACTCGTGGAATCAAACACTCCAAGCCGGGGGCAAATATTACCTCACTCGAAATGGTAGCACGATTGTCGCCTTCGCCATCGGACACAAATGGAAGCCAGGCAATCCCATTGCCATGGTTGGCGCTCACACCGATTCTCCCTGCCTCCGAATCAAGCCAGTCTCGAAGCGATCAGCGGATGGCTTTCTACAAGTTGGCGTTGAGCTCTATGGCGGTGGCATGTGGCATACCTGGTTCGACCGTGATCTTGGTGTGGCCGGTAGAGTGATGGTGAAGAGCAAGGAAGGCGTGGTGGAGCAGCGACTAGCGAAAATCAGTAAGCCTGTCTGTCGGATACCGAACCTCGCGGTGCATTTCGGCCAGCCGTTTGAGCCATACAACAAAGAGGCACAGCTGTTCCCAGTGCTAGGCCTGGTCACAGCAGAGCTCAATCGGCAAAGAAAGTCTGCAGAGGATATCAAGAAAGAGGAGACGGAGAAGCAGAAGAACGCGGGCTTCCAGCCTCTGAAGACCACGATGCAGAGACATCATCCTTATCTCGTAGAACTCATTGCGAAGGAGGCGGGATGCGAGGCGGAGGACGTGGAGGACTTCGAGCTCGTGCTTTTTGATACCCAGCCCGCGTGCCTCGGTGGCATTAACGACGAGTTTGTTTATTCTGCGCGTCTAGACAACCTGGGCATGACATACTGCGCGGTTGAGGGCCTCATTCAGTCGCTGAAAGATAATGCGGCTCTGAAGGATGACTCGACCATTCGCCTGATTGCATGCTTTGATCATGAAGAGATCGGCTCTCAGTCAGCACAAGGTGCACACGGCAACATGCTGCCTGCAGTCATTCGCCGACTATCTTGCCTTCCGCCGTCGCCTGAGGACAGCGAAAAGAGCTACGAGAACGTAAACGGTGACGCCACCGTGGACAACAGCACATCATACGAGCAGTCTCTATCCACGAGTTTCCTGATCAGCGCCGACATGGCACACTCCGTTAACCCGAACTATGGTGGATCGTACGAGTCAGAACACAGGCCGCACATGAACGAAGGCACAGTCATCAAAATTAATGCGAATGTACGGTATGCCACGAACTCGCCAGGAATCGTGCTCCTCCAGGAATGTGCCAGGCGAGCCAAGGCTGCATCTTGGCAGCTGCCGGAGGCAAAGACAGCGGAAGAAGGTGTACCGCTTCAGCTCTTCGTGGTGAGAAATGATTTTCGATGCGGCAGCACAATCGGTCCAATGCTCAGCGCGGCCCTGGGTGCGAGGACCATTGATGTTGGCAACGCGCAATTGTCGATGCATTCAATCCGGGAGACAGGTGGCGCGTACGACCCTGAACATGCAGTAAATCTTTTTGACAGCTTCTTTGAACATTACGGCGAGCTGGAGAGCAAGATCTTGGTCGATTGACTAGATGACGGAGGGAAAGCGAAGCTGTAAAGTATGAATGAACGGGGTATGACTGATGTGCTGCATTGCTGTTCTCATAGGATTGGCTCTGTGATTTGGAGATGATGTAGGGTTGTCAAGGCTTGTGTCTATGCCATTGGTGCCCGTAAATGTCTGCTCAAATGTTGGCGCAGGGTGATCTCTCTCTCCGCACGATGGCCATGGCTATCATCGAGCGTACACGATCTCTTGGCTTTGCTCATTGCTCCAGCAGACATGGTCGCAAGGCTGGAACCAAAAAAATTGGGCCACCGCCCGTGAATCACAGTGGTGCCAAATCATAGTGGTGCCCTCCGTCAGAAGCAATGCCTGGTGGTGGTGCTCTTCTATGAGTTCCATCTAGTTCCAGCCTTGCGACTATACTCCTCCCCCTAGAACCCAAAAACTTTGGTTTCTCGTAAGGTGCCGATGGAGTCACAAGAGATAACAACCACCGATCCACTGATGAATGAGTGGCAGCGCAAACGTTCCGAGGCGCAATTCTGATGCTTGAAAATGTATGCTGCTCAAAATCTCTGTCCTGTTTCATGTACAATTCTGTCGCTGTCGCTCATTCAGGTCATAAAATATAAGTACACTTGCCTCCCACTTGGTATGCGAGACTTTCCATTCTTACTCCACAATTTCCAGTTCTCCCTGCCGATTTCTCGCAAAAGTGTCTTTCCAGTCATCCCATATTCTTTCTAATTCTTCAACATACTTGGCGTGTATTTTGTCCACGTACGAGGGGTCAGGAGTTTTGGCCTGGATGATCGGGATTGGTCTGCCGACGACGATATTGATGGGTCTGCGGTATGGCATCATGCCGACGTCGTAGTTGAAGACACCGCGAGCATGGAAGAGAGGAACCTGCGAAAGAGTCAGTATATGTGAAAGATCTGAACGGGTAAATGAAGCTCACCGTGAACCCCATGAACTTCTTGACAAGCAGCTGCGCTTTATGTACGTAGGGATGGCTGCTCGCATCGAATTGATCGTAAAGGTCATTCTCACCGAAAGCAAGAATGGGTACCAAATCAGCGCCTGTTCTGATGGCGAGCTTGACGAATCCTTTCCGGCGCTTCAGGACGAGGCGTAAAGTGTATGGCTTCGCATCGAGAGACTCGCGAGCTCCTCCGACCACGATGGTGATAGCCCTCCCCATGCCCTCACCATTCGGTCCACCGTGTGACAAGATGTTTTCGCAGCTCTCACGACTGACCGATGCAAGTCCCATGCGGAGAGCGTAATCGCGGTAGAGCGGTATGCGGAAATTCGAGTCCAAAGTCAAGAGTGTGTTGGTTATGCCTGGGAAAAGCTGACTGAAGCCCAATGCTTCGGTCGCAAATGCTGCAAACGCACCATGGCTGATAATGCCGTGCGGATGGTAGCCAAAGATGTACTTCCGAGTCGGTTCTAGTGGCTGACTACGGTGCAAACGTGCTGGAAAGTAGGAACCAAATAGTGACCAGATCTTGCTTGATCGAAGCCAGTCTGATCGCTGCGAAAGCTTGCCATCGATCGACGCTCTCGAGAGTAGGCAGTATAGCAGGTAGGGAACCAGGAGGGGCCAGAGGATTGGAACACCACACAGCATGAAGAAGAACGCCAGACCACCCACGATGGAAAGGGTATGAAGCAGGACAAGGAGGGTCTGCAATCGCCGCTGCAGAGGCACATTCAGTGGCGCGAATCGTATCTTGCTTCGACTCCATCCCTCACCTACACGACGTCCAGACGTGAGCTCGCTATCTCTCCTCGTCCGCTGCGGTGGCTCGGAGGACGGCGGCTTGTCTTCCCGCTGCTGCAGACTCAGGTAGTAGTCGTCCGACACCTTGATTGAGGCCAGGTTCTCGCCGCTCTTGTTCCTGACGTGGTCATACAGCACATCGCTTGAATCGAGCCTTGCCGCTGGAGTTCCATCCATGACTTTCGCCTTTTTCGCGCCCGCGTTCAAATCTTTGGAAGATATGCGCTTGTGTGCGCGGCGAGTTGGAGATCGGGGAGTCTCGTCGCTGCCGACCGCATCAAATATTTCTGGTGTTCTCGCGCCGTTGCCATTCGCTCTCACGGGAGTTTCGATTGGCGTTTGCAGCCCATTCGTCTTTATCGGCAAGCCTCGACCGTCGCCATTGGGCAATGCGTTCTCTGACGGCGATCGATCTCGCACTACGCTGGCGTAGCTGTCCTGGCTATTCTTTGTTTCCAGCCGGCCTTTGGGGTGGCGCAGAGTAGGCGAGCCTGGCGTCGGCTCGTCGAATACTTCGCCCAGCGGCCGTGGTGAGCTGCTGTTGCGCAGTCGCGGCGGCGGCGGCGGTTCTTTGATAACGCTTTCGTCCAGGGGCGGATCTTCGCGATCAATGATATCCGTCTCTGCTGCTACTTCGGCGTATGTCGGCTCGATGGGGTTCGGTGTGCTCGCGGACATCGCGACCGGTGATATCTCTGCAACAGCAGGCGTTCCGGGAATTCATGCAGAAGGCTGGAATATCCAGAAGCCGGTTGCAGCTTCCTCGATCGGACTTTGGAAGCACGGCGCTGCTGCGCTTGAACTACGTCATCGGCGCACATGCCAACACGTCGGCTGCAATCTACCGTTCTACAACTTCAATCTTCACTCTACGCCCATCGCCAGCCATGACTCTCTCGTGGATGGTAGGCAATGCCGAAGACAATCAACCCACTCCAAAAGCGAAAGTCCAGCTCGTCACCATTCTCGGCCGCTCGACGAACGAAATCTGGCTCTAGAGAGAACAGCGCCGCAGAAAAGCAGGCCCAACGGCTTGACGATCAGGGCATCGTGCGTCGCGTCCCATTGGCAGAGGTTCCCGAAGACCTGTGTGATCTGATACGATACATCCAAGATCATGCCTTCGAGGAGATACCCGAGCGAAGCGCTGGTATGAACAGTAGGCAAATTGCCGAATGCCTGCAATTTCGAAAGCGTCTTCCACCAGTGGTCTCGCTCGCTCACCTACACGCCTTGAGCTCGTCCAGCACGGAGACAGACCGTGAGCTTGCACGCCTTGCTGCACAAGGCAAGGTGCGCCGGATCAGCATTCCTGGTCGTGGCAAAGGCGGCTCGTCGGTCGGTGAGGCGGTGGCTCTTGTAGCAGATTGGAAGGACAGATTGTGGCAAGATGAGTCGATAGAGGAGGAGACGAAGCAGAAGTACATGGCACTTCTGGACGACAATCCGACAGAGCGCTCTGCTCCCGTAGCCTCACTTTCGCAGGCTGAGAAGCGATCGCTGGTCGGAGCTGGCTTTTTGGCGAATCCTGGCGCGTTGACAACGAGTCATACCAGCAGTTTTGCGCGTCCGACTGGAGCTGCCGAGGGTGCAATTGCGAGAGCTGGGTCGTCAGCTGCCACCGGCTCGCTTGCTGCGGTCGGAGGCTATGCTGCTATTCAGGACAGCGGAGGAGGTGGAAGCATGCTCGCAACGAAGGAGAGTCGACTATCCGCCGCGGCGCTGCGAACAGAAGTCATGATGTTCAGTCTACCCTCCATGGGCGCCTACCTGAAGCTTATGACTGAAGGGCGTGCGCGGTTACTTTTCTTGCTCAAGCAGCTTTCGCCGCGGTACAAGGAGGCTGCATGGGACATGCTCATAGAAAAATGGAACGGCAATGTTCCTAACGACCCTGCGAGCAAGGCAAAACTCCTGCGGGGTGATTGGACTGGCGTGCTGCCAGGGCAAACACGCAAGTTCCAGCAGTTTCACGGACTCGATGGCGAGTGGTTGCTGGCTGAATGCGTAGGGACCGGCGACCTACAGCTCTTTGAGACTGGCAGTGTAGGCGTGGCGGTTCGTGGTCTGTAACGTAATGTTAAATGGACCGCCTTTCCGCTACGGTGCCTGAGGCACATACGTACGGCTAGCACTGCTGCGTACTTCTAGTCTTCTCTCGAAATCGCAACGATATTCTTTCAGACTGTCAACAAAACTTCCGGTTGTCTGTCAAACCCAATCAACAACCATCACCCATCAAAATGGCGACTATCAACCAAGTCATGTTGAAGCTTCAAATCGCGGAGGCAGAGCACAATTTTGCCCAAACCAGTGGCGACTTCGAAGCTTCGAAGCTGTCGTCCGCTCGCTCGAGCAGACTGAGACATTGCTGGCGAAAGTGACGGCCGCGGTCACGAGCGAGAAAGAGAAAGACGGTTGGCCGCCAAGAAATGGCGACTTTTGCCACAAGTGGCCTTGTAGCACTCCTGGTTCTCTTTCAGCTCTGATTCATCACGCCTCAATTTGGTCGTCTGCTGCCCTCACGATGCGGTACGAGTACCAATCGACCCACTCCTCTGCTTTCAAGTACGGCAGCTCAGAGTCACTGTATTCATCGTCACTTTCCGTGCTCTCTTCGTTCAGTTTCCTCTGTTCTACTCGGACCTGCATCAATCCCTCCCGCTTCAACCTGACTTTGTACTCTATTCCTCCTCGACCAGACATGTTCGCAATTGCAACATTTCTCTCCAGACGAGTGGTGTCTTCTGGTATAAGGTATCGGGAGGAGCGCGAAGAAGTATCGAAGAAAACGAGGTCTGAGCAGTGTGTCTTCTCGGCCAATTTTCGAAGGAGAACTTTTGCGGCTGCCTTGTTCGCGTCCCAGACTTTGGTGTATACGCCTGCAAGTTCCGATTTGCTGCGAATGCCGGAACTGTCCTTGAAGTTGTACGTCACCGCATAAATGGACTGTTGCGGTCGTTTTTCCGGTTCCGGCGACGAGAGAGTTGATATGTCGGCTCGCTCGACGCTAGACGAAGATCCATTGACAGGCAGTGAGGCGGGACCTGCAACTCTGCGCTGCTTTGGACTGGGCTGCAAAGGGTCGACTAGTGGTGTGCTTGCAGCAGTGACATCTTCCGAACGTTTTCTCTTGACCATGATGCCGACGGCACTTTGCAGCCCAGTGGACCAGTGGTGACGCTGTATCTGAAGTTTGAACTTCTGAAGGAGCAGCTGGGCACAATGCTGGAAGTGAGCCGGCGAAATGTGGTGCAGGGTTATCGGAAATGGCGTTTTGACCACGGACATGCTGCAGTAACTTTATCTGCAACGTGAGAGCAGTGGGAGAAAATGAGAAAATAATGGCCTTCCGCCTCGCTCTTGCTTCACGCCATGTTGTCTTTTTCTTTCTCGATCGCTCGCTGCACTTGGCCAGAGGGAGCTTGAGCTGCGCAGAATGCTGTGGGAGTCAGCCCGCTCAGGCAGCAGATACTCTCATGTCGACTCGCCATCCCCATGCTCCTGACGAATTTCAGCCTCCATTGTCTGCTCCTGATGCTTCCCCAGTTGCAGTCGGCGTATTCATGCTCCTTTCCCACGGAGCACAAGCCTCTTCTTCGATGCGATGGGCGGGCAGATGAGTTTGGATATGCAGGCTCGACCGAAAATCGACACTATTTCCACGCGAGAGTGGGCGGAAACTGCAAGGCTCAGTGTAGGTGTAGATGATTGCTGACGCGACTGCCGGAGCTCATTCCGATGCTCGCTCACACAATGACAGACATCCCGGTCGTGGCGGTGGCTTGGCGCCGTCAGCTTCCTTCGCGTCGCCTCTACGCGTGATGCAGCTTTGCCCTTGTTCTGGCCACAAGTCCGTATGCCAAGCAGTAACGCAAGGCGAGGCATGAGCTCGGAATGTAGACTTACCATACCATACCATCGGAACGAGATGCGGCTTTGTGGCCTCGGATATACTGCCGTGCCGTAGATGACGGGTGCCACGATTGAGTGCATCAAATCAAATCGATGCTCGAGTGCATCGAAGCGGATATCGAGGTCGACAGCATCCTATCCACTGCGGAATAGCGCGAAATCTCCACTTCGAGGCATCCTCACCGATGCGATGCGCAGTGCTTCACGTCGCTTCTCAAATGAGCCCAATCTGAAAGAGGAATGCAGCGACGCCTTGCCCCCCTTGCCTTGCCTCGATGTCGTTGCATACAGAACGTGGCGCATGTCCCAAGTCTCCATGGCGACGAGATCACATCTCCTACGAAAGGGATGTGGCGACACATGGCTGCAGAGCACACAGCACTGCGCCGTGACAGGAATGCGACATGCGAAAAATATCACAATCCCAAAAACAGCGCCTCCCGCGTTCACTTCACTTTCCGTTGCGCCTCATCCGTGGGCGAGTGCGAAATGGCGTGGAAAGCACTCTTGCTGGGCCAGTTGGCCCTGGCCGCAGCACAAGAGCGCGGCAAGTGAAGGCCAGCGCTGGAATCGCCGTGATACACACTGACATGCGGTGCAGTGCGCGTGGTGACGGTCGTCCTTCACCAATCATGCGGAGTCCCCGTCGGCTTTCCAACCACCCTCGACTATCCGACAAGTGAGCGACATGGAAACGATGAGATGGCAGCGCACTGACCTGCAAGCCAGCTCCGGCGAACACAACAGATGGAGCCCCATACCCATCTTCCCTCCCAGCGTCCATCACCGCGGCCACCTCTGCCGCGCCTTCGTACACGACGGTATATTCGTATGACACGGGTACGGCACCGCTAACAGCAGCTTCGACACGGACCACAATCCCACCTTCAGGCACAGCTCCGGGCACAATCATCGTTCAGCTGCCTCCCACGATATCCTACCTGACCGTAACCCAGCCATACACAGGCACCGTGCCTTTGACAGCAGCGACAACGCTTTCGACCGCGCTTCCGTCCGGGAATGCGCCAGGTACATACTACGTGCAGTACCCGCCGCAATTTGTGACCGTGACTCACGCATACTCCGGCACCGCTCCATTGACTGCGCCGACGACGGTGCGAACCATTTTCCCTTCGGGAAGCGACCCTGGAACGGTATACATTGAAACGCCGCCCCCCGCACAGTCCACTCTATACTCGGATGTGACGAGAACATACACATATGAGTCGAGCGGAGTGACGTACACTACAGCCTTTACCACCGCAGTCGGCATTACGAACGCTCCTGCCACTGGCCTGACCACCGTCACTTCACTGTACGGGGCAACGTCAGCAATTACCGAGCCTTTCACAACGACCCTTGGCAGTTCTGTGGTGGTATACATTCCGCCATACGTGACGTCGTATTCCACGTACACTGGCACCTCGCCTTTGACAGCTCCGGCCACGATCTCGACCATTCCTCCAAATGGCAACACACAAGGAACGTATATCGTCGCGCCTGGGAGCTATATTACCTCAACACAGCCGTACACAGGTAGCGTTGCAATTACTGCTCCCATCACAAGCACTATCTCGCAGCCATCGGGCACGCAGCCCGGCTTGGTGATAATTCAAACGCCAAGTCCGTATGCTGGGCCTGTCAGCTATATTACTTCAACGCAGCCGTACACTGGCAGTGCTTTGATTACAGCTCCGATCACCAGCACTGTGGCACAGCCATCAGGCACACAACCAGGACTTGTCGTAATTCAGACCCCAAGAGGGAGCAATGAGCCCGGAAATTACATCACATCTACAGTTCTCTACACCGGCGGTCCAGTGATCACGGCTCCGGTCACAACTACAATCTCGCAACCATCCGGCACCCAACCAGGCTTCGTCGTCATCCAGACGCCAGCCGGATACGGAGCTGCCTCAACTGTTACGACCACGCAGCTTTATACTGGTACTTCATCAATCTCTGGCCCAATCACGACTACTATCTCGGCAAGTGGCACGAACCCAGCTACCGTCTTGATTCAAACTCCTGCAGACTACGACGCGGTTACAATCACCACTCTGTACACAGGCGCATCTTCGATCTCGGGCCCAATCACAACTACCATACCTGCCAGTGGCACTGATGCAGAGACTGTGTTGATACAGACACCTCCTGGCTACAATGCAGGGTCAAGCTACACAACCATTTACGAGGCTTACACAGGAACATCTTCCATCGATGGGCCGATCACATACACAACTATCCCACCTTCCGGGGCATGGCCAGGAACAGTGATATTGCAGACGCCATCAGGATACACGGCCTCTTTCTCATTCGTGAGTGCCTCGACAACGACACCAGTGCCAACTTCTACACCCTCACTAGCTGCTTGCCCAGCTGTGACGTGCGGAGCTGCCGCAACGAATGCCACGGTATGCGATAACACTTCCGGGAACAGCTTCAATGTCACCTGCGGAACAAGATACGTTGGCAACATTGTGAGGCGAGCTGCTGCACGAGATACAAACTCATGCTTAATTGCTTGCGATGCCACTCCAGGTTGTGTTGCTGTCAACTTTTACGGTGGCACTGCTGACGGGGATGGGAACTGCGAAATATTTGATGTAGTAGAGCGCAGTGTACCAGCCTCAGGCGTGGCCGCTGCCGAACGTCCCAATTATGTCGAACCGGAAGACGTCAACACCACGCCGCCAGCTGCTCAAAGTACGGACGGAGAAGCAGTTTCGTACAGCGTGATCAGTACTGCGACTGTAGGATGGGTGACAACTACGAGAGGGCCATATACTGGCACGAACCCGATCACGAGTGCAACAACTGTCAGCACAGTCTTCCCCAGCGGCACCGTCTCGGGCACGTACTACGTGGAAACTCCAGCTCCCCAATCTGCAAGTGGATATGTCACCAGCTCACGGCCGTACACAGGTACGGCAGCACTGACGCAAGCGACTACTGTCAGCACCGTCTCTCCATCAGGAGCCAATAGTGGGACGTACATTGTGGAATATCCTCCTTCTAGCAGCTCGGTTGGCGCCTCGACACCTTACACTGGGACTGCTTCCATTGACGGCCCAACCTCAGCTTCCACCTCCTTCACATCTGCAGCACCAACCGCTTCCACAACTTCGAACAATTTCACCTGTGCGGCAAACGACGGCACGAACGTAACGGATGCTAGCGGTAATGTCTATGAGCTCCGTTGTGCAGTCAACACAGAAGCCGGAAGCGCCGGCCAGGCAGACGCGCCTACCAATTTCAACGACTGCTTTGGACTCTGCGATGGCATATCTTCTTGCTTGGGCTTCACCTATCTAGGAGTGGTCAATGGCACTGCGCCAGGCACTTGTTACTTCAAAGGCAACAGTACAGGCGAACCGATCTTCAGTGCTCCTCAATCGAATGTAGTGTCCGCACTGCGACGCCGCGCTGTACCGGCTGCTCCAATTCAGTCTGGGAGTAGCTCAACCGCGGGCGCAAGCACTTCAACATCCTACGTGACAACCACGATTGCTTGGACGGGCACTTCGCCGATCACTGAAGCAACTACCGTCAGCACCGTGGCTCCCAGTGGAAGCCAAGCTGGAACTTATGTGGTAGCCACACCAGCCTCGGCGTCTACTTCGACCTTTGACTACTATGTGACAAGCACGCGCGCGTTCACAGGCGCAACTCCGATCTCCGAGCCCACAACTGTAACCACGATCCCGGCAAGTGGCAGTCAACCAGGGACCATAGTCATCGAGACACCAAGCTCTGGTTTGTCATCAACATTCAATTATTACGTGACCTCTTTCAGGCCCTATACTGGGGCAGATTCGATCACACAGCCCACTACCGTGAGCACGATCGCCGCAAGTGGTACTCAGCCGGGCACGCTGATCATCGAAACGCAAGCTTCTGGCTCGTCCACCTACACATACTATGTGACTTCGACGACTTATGGCGTTTACTCTCAAACGACAACGTTGACCACTATTCCAGCCAGCGGCTCAGCATCTGGTACTGTAGTGATTGGTGCTCCCCTCACTTCCACGACATCAAGCTCAAGTTCATCAGCCTTATCTTCGTCTTTGGGCACAGTCACTTCAACGACGTATGGCGCTTATACTCAGACCACGGTCTTGACCACCATTCCTGCGAGCGGATCGGCTTCAGGGACTGTAATAGTTGGGGCCCCTGCTACATCTACGACATCAAGCTCCAGCTCATCTTCGACCTCGACCTCGTCCCCGACCTCTTCAAGCTCTTCTCTCTCATTAGGCACAGTGACATCAACTACATATGGCGCCTATCCTCAAACCACAACGTTAACAACTGTCCCGGCTAGCGGATCAGCGTCTGCAACGGTTGTGATTGGAGCTCCGCTGACCTCTACGGCAAGCTCATCATCCAGCTCATCCAGCTCATCGGCGTCAACTTACACGTATTACGTTACGTCAACGAGAGAATGGACTGGAAGCTCGACTCTTGCGCAGCTGACAACAGTCACGACCATCCCTCCTTCCGATGGCAACCCTGGAACAATTGTAATAGAAACCCAGCCTCCTGTAACCACTACGTCCTCGAGCTCTACTTCCTCGAGCACCTCCTCGTCTCTATCGCTTGACACGGTGACTGTAAGCATCATACCTTCTCCCTGAATCGAAAAAAAGCTAATACATGAAGACGACATCCACTGCATCTTCTACATCTTCGACCTCCACCAGTTCGAGCTCTTCAGGTCTCCTGCCAACTACAACGGTGGGTTTCGTGCAACCGCAGTATACATTAGCTTTGGCTGACTGGATAGCAGATCACTACATCAATTGGAAGTGGCTCGTCTTTGCGAACCTCTTTTACCTCGTTGACTACAGGTTCCTCTACTGGCTCGGTAGAGAACTCTCTCAACCTTTCCACTTCCTCAAGCAGCGCCGTGGCTTCTAGCAGCTTCATTTCGGCTGGCGACCCTTCGAATGGGTCTCCGAGCTCGACCAGCTTCGCCTCGTCTGCGGGCTCGACAAGGATCGGCACTGCAGTAGGCAGTGTATCCTCAGAAGACATTTCAACCCCAGCAAGCACTGTTTCATCCTCAACAAGCTCTTTGATTGCGATTAGCACATCATCTTCAACCACTGGCATGTCCTCAATAAGCACTCTACCTTCAGCAAGTAGTGCTCCATCTTCGCCAAGTACTTCTTCAACAAGCAGCTCTTCAACAAGCAGCTCTTCAACAAGCAGCAGCTCTTCAACAAGCAGCTCTTCAACAAGCAGCAGCTCTTCAACAAGCAGCTCTTCAACAAGCAGCTCTTCAACAAGCAGCTCTTCAACAAGCAGCTCTTCAACAAGCAGCTCTTCAACAAGCAGCTCTTCAAGAAGCAGCTCTTCAACAAGCAGCTCTTCAAGAAGCAGCTCTTCAATAAGCAGCTCTTCAACAAGCAGCTCTTCAACAAGCAGCTCTTTAACAAGCAGCTCTTCAACAAGCAGCAGCTCTTCAACAAGCAGCGCTTCAACAAGTACCTCTTCGATAGGTACATCTTCAATAAGCAGCTCTTCATCAAGCAGTTCTTCGACAAGCACCTCATCGCCAAGCACCTCAAGTACCTCTTCAATAGGTACATCTTCAACAAGCAGCTCTTTATCAAGCAGTTCTTCGACAAGCACCTCATCGCTACGCACCTCAAGTACCTCTTCGATAGGTACATCTTCAACAAGCAGCTCTTCATCAAGCAGTTCTTCGTTAAGCACCTCATCACTAAGCACCTTATCGCCAAGCACCTCATCGCCAAGCACCTCATCGCTAAGCACCTCATCGCCAAGCACCTCATCGCCAAGCACCTCATCGCCAAGCACCTTATCGACAAGTACCTCTTCAATAGGCACATCTTCGGCAAGTAGTTCTTCAACAATTACCTCTGCAATAAGCAGCTCTTCGACAAGCACTCCTTCGACAAGCGTGACCAACGCTCGAACGCTCAAATTCCCTAGAAACATACTGACTAGTACATGTATCTAGACCACAACTACATCGAGTCCTGCAACTACCACGGTAAGATTTGGCTAAGCATTTTCCGCTTCGCATATTGCGCTAACATCAAATATAGACCTCCACGACATCTACGACCTCTACTACCACGAGTACAACTACTACTGTAAGTTTTTCCTAGTAGCTCCTCGAGCTAGCTCGCGAACAGCCATGCTGACATTTCTCCGAAGACAACTTCGACCACTTCTACGACAACCAGTAGTACGACGGTAAGTTTCGATAGCTGCTATATCTTCATATCTGCGATCTTCCGCAAAATTGAGAATGCAATGTCACGACAGGTCTGATGCCACGAACGTGGCGAAGTTGATGACTACGCATTGCTCTCGCCTGCCCTACTGCACTGCACTTGCACCGCTTTGCATGGCGACTACTTTATATTGAAGAGGGATCACTGACAACCGGCAACAGACCACAACAACATCGACGACTTCTACCACTACGGTCAGTAGCTAAATCTGCATTCGCAGCAAATTCAAATGCTAATCGGTGAGAAGACGACGACATCAACTCCAACCACTACGGTACGCTCTTAATTGGAAATCTGTTCGAGTTTTCTACTAACCGCATTGAAGACTTCGACATCAACGACTACTGTAAGCGGAATCTGGCGTCTTATGCACGAAGATATTAACGTAATCAGACCACAACATCATCGACTACTACTACAACTGTAAGTCGCCGGAATATATCGAGAGTGTAGCCGATACTAACAGCATTCAAGACTTCAACTCCGACAACGACAGTAAGCTAAGCTTTGGCGCGATACACAAAAGTGAGCTTCGAGAGCTAACCATCCCGTCTATATAGACAACCACAAGTACGACGTCTACGACAACGGTAAGCTCTCTTTGCAATGTGACAGATACTTAGCAGCTGACTTCTACGAGACTACAACTCCTACAACGACTGTGAGTCGAGCTTTTAAATGATAAGCTGTACGGGTTCATCTTCTAATTAATACAGACGACAACATCTTCTACAACTACTACTACAGTAAGCCAGCCTGTTAACTTCTACGAATGCACTTGCAGCTCAATTGCTCGGAACCTATTGCTAATATCGCAAAGACCTCCACTTCGACTACGACTGTAAGCCGAGCTACCGCGTCTTTCGCCTCGTAGGCTTGATAACTAATCAAAGCAGACTACAAGTACTACATCTACGACGACGACTACAGTACGTCCTTTTCTTACTCTCCTAGCTCGATTTGGTTAAGTGGCTAACCTCACGGCAGACTCCCACTACCACCGTAAGCCAAGCCGCTTGTAACATCTGGAGTGTTCGACTGACTAGTACAGACGACGACAAGTACCACATCTACAACTACTACTACCGTAAGTTTCTTGTCGCGGATCAAAGGTATTCCCACTAACATGTTGCAGACTCCGACTACTACCGTATAATCTTATGACTCCAGAAATTTACAGCAAGCTAATGAAAGCATTAGACGACAACATCTTCCACTACTACCACTACTGTAAGCCTCACAGATCGAATTTTCATCCTTTCTACTAACGCGTTCAAGACCACTACGCCTACGACCACTGTGAGCTGAAACTCGCCGAAATATCTGAAGACGGCGATGCTAACACTTTGAAGACTACCACAAGCAGCACAACTACCACGGTGAGCAATCTTGAGGCTTTGAAAAGTTGAGGTGAGGCTGACGCATATCTAGACGACAAGTACACCAACAACGACGGTATGCATGGACCTTGCACAACCTTTGTTCATATTTGTAGAGCTGACACCACACCATCAAGACAACCACAAGGACTACTACAACTGTAAGTCGATTCGGGGCATTTTCTCGGGTATTCTCCACTCACTGAGATGTACAGTCAACCACTACTTCAACAACCACTACCACGAGTACGACTTCGGTAAGCAAAGCGCTTTTACCATTCAAAGAAAGATCTTGTCTAACCTCGAGCAGACAACAAGTACGACAAGCACAAGTACCACAGGTGCGGTGGCGACAGCAACAGCCGAAGCAAATTTTACATGCCCCGACCAGGATGGACGCATCGTTCAAGACAACTGCGGCGTCCAGTACGTTCTTGGATGCAGCCGCGATACCTACGTACCATCCTACACTAACGTGTACGCTACATCGTGGAATGCGTGCTTCCGGCTGTGTTCGAGCGGCGACTATGGAAACTGCATTTCATTCGCCTACGTGTTTGAATCCAATTTCTGTTACCTCAAGAGGGGGACGAATGACTACTTTCAAGGTACCAATAGCGGTCTTGTTGCGGCTATTCAGGTCCAGTACTACAATGGAGCATACAGCGGAGCTGCTGTCTCATCTACCAGCAGGCAATGTACGAGCGTAGCCACAGTTATCACGAACGCCTTCACAACAACTCGCACTACAACAACGACTACTACTACCGCGGCAACAACCGTTACTCAGACTAGCCCGTACAATCCTGCCACCCAAAGTCCGACCACGACGGCTCACACATCGACAACAATTTCTGCAAGTGGCACAGATCCGGCAACAGTGGTCATCGCCACTCCAATGTACACGGCACCTTGCGTGGTCGAAGGATATCTATCTCAGCGGAATACGCTATACCGCGTGAACTTGGCGACTGGGCAGAACTCTACAGTCTATACTTCGACGGACTCGGGTACTAACGATGGTATCAATTCGCTGGCCTTAAACCCTCTAGATAGCTACCTTTATGCCACCATTCGTGGCGTTGACCCGGAAGTCATGGTTCGGGTTAGCTTTGACGGCAGGCTGCAACGACTTTTCAATTTACCCAGCGGGCGAAAGTTCTACGTCGGCGACTTCACACCCGATGGCTCGTTCTGGACAGGGTCGCAGAGTAATGGCTGGCAGTGGATCAAGGTAAATTTCGCTCCTGGAACTGCGAACTACAGCACCGTGGTTCAAACAGGTACTGCCTCGCTACCTGCGTCTCCATTCAACACCAACAATGGAGGTATTCAGGATTGGGCATATGTACCAGGTGCCGGTCAGAACCTGTTTGCACCTTTCTCAGATAGCACCGGCGCAACGACTCTTTACAGCTTCAGCCTGTCGACTTTGAGTTGGGCTACTGTTGGTAACGTTGGTGCTTTCGGCACCACGGTAGCCAACGCCAAATGGAATGCTGTCTGGGCTTCGAACGATGGCTTCCTCTACGGTTCGGAAGGAAACACAGGTCAAATTTGGAAGTTCACCATTCGGAACGGTATTGGATCGCAATTCATTGTGACCGGCCCGCCATCACAATTGGCAGACGGAGCCAGATGTTGGAGCAACACCACTGCAATCGGCGCCTAGATGAAGACAATACAGAAATGCCGTCGTTCATTCTGCAAGCGCGCGACTTCTTTCTATACACATCGATAATGTTTACGCATAAATAGAATGGTATTACTGTCACGATCGCATGCTCTCCAAGTCTGCTAGACATTCGCACGTCCGCTGAACCCAAGACGTTCTTGCTGACGACGTCAGTGTTTCGATCTCGCTGCTTTAGATGACGCCTCAAGTGTTTCGGAAGCCATCGCTGGAAACCATACGCACTGCATTCATGTGCAAATGGCTCGTGCACTAGGGTTGTGTTCACGCCAAGGCTGTCACTGTCACATACTCAGCAGTAAGAGCCGCCATCTTGGCTCGCATGTCGAATTCCATGGTCATGGGATCAGCTTTGCCGCAAGAGAGGAAGAAACAGGGAAATTGGATGGGCGAAGCCGCAAGAAAGAAGCAGCAGAGAAAAAGGATCGGCGAAGCCCTAAGAAACTAAAGGCAGGATAGTAAGAGACGCCGGACAGTCTTTTGGAATGGCGATATAATAGGGGACGAGGAAATATTAGTAACTTAACTACAATACCTATCAACATAGCTATATAATAGCTTACATAAGACTGCCGCGGCGATGAGCTATCTTCTAGAGATAGTCCGGATCCATGCCTTTGCCCTTGCGTCTGCCACTAGTACGGCTGCTGCTACGGAGGCGTATGCTGCAGCTCGCAGGGTCTAGTCCATGATCGTATACTCGGCTTTCATCTATCCTTTGTTTATCTTTAGTTTAACTTCTGTTCAACTTTCACCTAACTTTTACTTAGCTTTTGCTTGGCTTTTGCTTAACTTGTACTGAATTCCTATTTATCTTTTATTTATCTTCTATTTATCTTTTGCTTATCTTTTGCTTACCTCTTGTTTATCTTTTGTTTGTCTTTTGTTTAACTTTTATTTATCTTTTGTTTATCTTTTATTTATCTGTAAGAAGGGTTATATTAGCAGGTAGATAGGGTAGTAGTGAATTAGTATAGTATTCGATAGAGATCTAAAAGGAGAGGGAGGAAGGTAGGCTAGTTAGCCTAACGCTAAGCGCTAAGCCCTACCTAAGGCACTAAGACCCTAGCTTCACTCGGCCTAATTATATGCCAATTACGTATAGCCTCTTTGGCCCTAATACACGCTTCCCTTCTAAAGGCCGCGCCCTCGTAGCCTGTCTATATTCTAATCTCGACCTCTATTACTACTAACTTAGCAGGTCTAATAAGCCGCTTAGTCCGCGCTAAATTAAACACTTAACCACCTGATTATATAACTATATCAAACCTTACCTCTAAAACAACACAATGTACAACTCTAACTGCGCTATCTCTATATATAATAAACTATAAAGTAATATATATCTATAAGAATTGAGGGCCTTCGACTAATTATAATACGAGCGCGTCTTCCCTACTGCAATAGGTAGACGTACGAGGTATTGCAGCCCTACCTCCGTTCTAAGTGATATTATACCGAGTTCTTTGCGTCTACTCTTAAAAGACCTAGCAATGTCCGCTTCTAAGGGTTTGTCCGCTTCCGAGGGTTATTATTCTTGTTGTTCGTAGTTTCGCTAGCCCTAATTAGCTAGGTTTAGCAGCCTTTAAGTGTTAATCTTATCTTATCTTTTTAAAAAAACACAGCTCGTCTAGTTTCTATAGGTAAAGGCTATTATAAGTGCAGTAGTAGAGGTTCGCCTCGCTTAAAGGGTCGGAAAGATCGAGGAGTAACCTATTATCCGCAAGATCGACCCCGGCTAGCTTAGCTCTATAGTTTTGCCCTTAGTTAGTCTATTAATCGCTTAATCTTTTAAGCGGCTTAAAGTTTTAATTAAAGTTTTAATCAAACCTTTAATATAGCTATTCTTTTAACTTAATTAGTATAGCGCGCCTCCGGCCTTAGGCCGTAGTATAGGTAAAGTTGTCTTCGTAAGTATAGTAGCGACAACAGGTAAGGTTAGCAATGTTAGCGAGCAGGTGATATTAATAATAGCGGCGCTAGTCGTCTTAGCGCTAACTTCACCTTCTTCTAATTTCCTTCTTTAACTAGTAATAGCTCGGCAACACCGTTACTAATATAGCCGTGTCCTTCCTCTCTTAAATAGCAATATACCCCGCAACACTATTACTAATATAGCCGCGCCGGCCGCGCCGTCCTCGCCGATTACCTAGGCCTCGAGGCCTCGATAGAAGGAAGGAATAAGAGGGGGCGTTAAAAGGAGGGTCTTATAGGGTACGCTAGTAAAGAGGTAGATTCCTTAAAAGGGCAGGGAATTGGTCGACAGTTATAGCGCGCTCGTTAACACTTAGTGCGCGTCCGCTATAGTAGTATAGTCTTATTGTCCTTCGTTGCTAACAATTGCCCGCTTCTAATTAGTTAGCTAATAGCACCCCGGGGGTAGCATTGTTCCTAGGCGACATTATAGGCATTATAAGCTCTTAGCCTTCTTCGTGTTCTTTACGCTAGTCTAATACTTATCTAGCAACTTAGTTATATCCTTAAACGAGTCTTTAGCCTCCTATAAGTCCTATTTAGGTAAATAGCCTTACTATCTTAATAGGTACTCCTTCTTGCCTTGCCTAGTCCGGTGCTTTAGAATACGTTCTATAGACTACAGCTCTTTACTATCCGCTAGTATGTCTTCGTGTTTAGTAGGGGCTTTATCTCCCTCGCGCAGGTAATATAGCTTAAGGAGGGATATATAGAAGGTGTTATAGATAGTATAATAAGGAGGAAGCTATAACTAATAGGCCTATACGGAGGAGCCCTTAACTTCTCGAATGCGGAATAGACTAATATATCTTAGTGCGAGCTTAGGCCTTGTTTTGCTATTAGGGGATAGGTGCTTACGGATGCGGAGGTTCTTAGTGCTTAGCATAACTATGTCGCCTTGCTTAAAGGTTATCGGTGTATAGTGTTTGTCGTAATAGGCCTTCTAATAGGCCTAGGCCTTCGCTAGTTTGTTAGCTATCTTGGCGTAAATCTCTCGCATCTTTTGAACCCTCTTAATAGCCGCTAGTGTCTTAGGTATTAGTACTTAACACGCTTCCCTTTCCTTACGCTCGGCCTCGAGCGATAGGGGGTCTTATAGCAGCGCAGGGTTGCTTCCTATTATAGCGAAATAAGGTAACACCTTAGTAGATAAGTAGACACTATTGTTATATACGAATTCGGCTAGTTGTAGGAGATTGACCTAGTTATTAGGGTTCTTATTAATATAGCTACGCAGGTACTACTATAGCGTGGCATTCTGCCTTTCGGTTTGACTATCTGTTTATAGATAGAATGCTATAGACAGGCAATACTTAAGTCTTAGCTGTAGGCAAATCTTACTCTAATAATGAGATATAAATGTCGAGCCTCGGTTAGAGACTATCCCTTTAGGGATCCCCTAATAGGTACAGAAGATGTTGTTCTACAGCGCTTCTACTATATTAATAGCAGTCTAATCTTTCCGCGCCGGGATGTATCGAGCGCCCTTAGTAAACCGGTCTATAACGACTAGGATAGCGTTAAAGATATCTTTGCTTCCTCTTCGCTTAGTAGGGGGAAGACCTATAATAAAATCTATTATAAGCTCCGTAAATGGCTTGTAGGGGATTAGCAATAAGGACAACTCGCTAAAAGGCTGATGCTTTAGTGCCTTAATACGTTAGCATACGGCACACGTGTTAACGTATTCCTTTATGTTCCGCTTACTATTTAGCTAGTAGTATGTGCGCGATAGTAGCTCGTGCGACCTCTCTGTACTATAGTAACCGGCAAGCTTACTATTATAGTATCGCTTAAGAAGTTCTTATCGGATCGAATGTTTAGCGGGGATATAGTATCTGCCCTTAAACTTCAAATAACCTTTGTTATCGACCGACTAGTTACTCTTACTAGATCGAGTCGTTCGCCTACTTATAAGCTTGTCGATACGTTTAGCAGCAAAGGCGTCCCTCTGCTAAGTACGTAATAGCTTATCTATAAACGATTAACTATCCCTATTTGCAAGGTTATTTAACAGTACCCTCGCTATTAAACGAGGTACGCATTGTATACATCTAATAGCACTAGCAGCCGGATTAACTATAGCAGTGCTATCGCTGTTACTGTATATTGCGATATCGACTAGGGAGTTATTATAACTTCTCCTGTCTGTGTCCTTAGCTCTTATCTTAATACGTACTATTAATATAGCAAGAGCATTAATATGCTTCAAGCCGTCGCGGAGTCCGGTAAGCCGCTTATTCTGCGCGTGCTTATTAATAATATAGGCTATAGCAATCTTATACTATAGGGTTGGAAACAAAGAATTAATGTGTTAGGTCTCGCTATCGTAATTAGGTCGCCTCGATAGGCTATCGGCAGGGTTACTTACGCCTAGCCGATATAATATATTAAAATTAAACCCGGCGAGGTAGACGGCCTATCTAGCCTATCGACCTATAACCCTAGTAACCTTAGTAATGCTACGGAGGTTGTTATAGTCTGTATAGACCTGTATTGTATATTAAGCCCTATCGAGGTAGTGCCTCTAATGCTTAAAGGCCTCGACAATAGCTAAGAGCTCTTGCTCGTAGGTCTCGTAGCGACGCTTAGCATTAATCATCTTCCTCGAGAAGAAGGCAATTAGGTGCTAGTAGTAGTTACTATCTAACTGCTAAGACATTATAGCTAATATAGCGAACTGTAAAGCGTTAGTCTCAATTCGGATCTGCTTGTTTAGTATAAAATAGTGTAACAAAGGGACTTTAGTGAACCGCTTCTTTAAACTATCAAAAGCGGCTTATGCTCTATTAGTCTATTTGAACTCTCTAGTTAGGTTGGCCTTAGTTTTAGTGAGCTTAGTTAGGGGCATTATATGCCGTAAATAGCCCTTAATAAAGCGGCGGTAGAAATTAGCGAAGCCGAGGAACGATTAAAGCTCCTTAATAGACGTAGGAATAGGCCATTTAGTAATTGTTTTAATCCGATTAGGATCAGCCTTAACACTATTAGTTGATACGATAAAACTAAGGAAGGCTACCTCCTTAGTAGCAAAGGTGCATTTAGAAGGCTTGTAATATAGTCTATAGGCTCGTAGGCGATCGAGCACCTTACGGACTATAGCCTAGTACTCCGCAATATTAGGTAAGTGTATGTAAACTAGGATGTTATCTAGGTAAACTACGTAGAGGTAGTCTAGTAGGCCTAATAGGGCCCGATTGATGTAGGACTAGAATGTAGTAGGGGCATTAGCTAGCCTAAATAGCATAACTAAGTACTCGAAATAGCTATAGCGAGTGCGGAAGGCTGTCTTCTATTTATCGCCCTTGCGAATACGGATACGGTAATAGGCGTCCTTAATATCTAATATAGTATAGTAGTAGGCACTAGAAAGGCGGTCGAGGGTCTTATTAATAAGCGGGAGTAGACAGCGGTCTTTAATAGTAATAGCGTTAAGCCCTCTATAATCAACATATAAACGTAGGCCGCTATCCTTCTTTAGCACGAACAGGATAGGTGCACTAGTAGGGCTATTACTGTATCGAATTCGACTATTAGCTAGGTTTTCCTCTAGGTACTTACGTAGCATAGC